CCCTCTACAAACACAACTGTACCCTCCCCTCTCTCCCTTCCTCCTCTTCTTTTTCTCCCTCTCTCCCTCTTCTTGCTCTGTCTCCCATCCTTTCTCTCCCTTTCCATATTTCTCTAAAGCTATTTTACTTCCAAAACTGCTAAATCCATAAGAACCCAGAAAGGGGAATCCTGAGTGTGAACTCGGCTCCACAGAGCCTTCTAGGGGAGTGGTGTCTGAAAGTCCTCGCATGTGCATCCTGGCACCTGGGAACAGGGCACCTTTGAGAGCAAGACTTTGTGTTGCTGGCTGACATCTAGGTGTGCTGGGCCCTACACTGACCTTCCTTGGGCCAGAGTCCCAGGCCAACCAGGCCTTCTGGGAAAGATGATGTAGCTGGCCCAGCTCTCCGTGGCTTCAGGGACCAAGCCTAGTGGGTGAGTCTTGGCCGGTTGAGTGCACAGGTCACTTTACACCCCCTCTGCTTGCTTGCAGGGATTGATTACAAGACCACCACCATCTTGCTGGACGGCCGGAGAGTCAAGCTGGAGCTCTGGTGAGTTGTTATGTGGGTGCTGGGGGCGGAGCAGCTGAGGGAGCAGAATGTGTTGGTGAACCAGGAAAACCCTATCTCCATTCCACTCCCAGCCACCATTCACTGTGAGGATGCTGGTCCCCTCCGGGTCTGACACCCTCAGCACCTGCCCCTCCTGTGTTTCAGGGACACGTCAGGCCAGGGCCGGTTCTGCACCATCTTCAGATCCTACTCCAGGGGCGCACAGGTAAGGCCTGCTTCAGTTCTCAAGGTGACACATGGTCACTGCACTGCCAGACTGCTCTGTGCACGTGTGTGTGTATGAGTATGAGTCTGTGAGTGTGTGCTCTGTGAGGAAATGTGATGTTCTTGTATGCGTTGTGTGTCTGCTGGCAGGGCCCACAGAGATGCGCCCTCTGCTGTGGACCAGACCACTGGGAAGACTTTTTTGTTGGTTTTCGTTTGGGGGCAACACTCAGTGGTGCTCAGGGTCTACTCCTGGCTCTGTGCTCAGGGATCACTCCTGGTGGGCTTGGGGGACCATATGGGGTGCTGGGGATTGAACCCAGTTCTGCTGAGTGTAAGGCAGCTGTCCGCTCTGCTGTCCTAGCTCTCAGGCCCAGAGGCTCAGATATTTAACAGCTGCTAAGTGCCTGAGGCCCATCTTCCTGAACTGAGGCCTCGTTACCCTTGAATGTGGCAGCTCTTGGCTCCAGCAACAACATCAAGGGTCCCTGAAATCTTAAAGCGGCTGGTGCTTCAGATTGAACAGTGTTTGCTGCCGCAGCTGTGGTGTTTGCCCGGTCAAGGGATTCCTTGACCATGGGCTACACCTGGCAGTGCTCAGGCCTGCTCCTGGCTCTGTGTTCTGGGACCATATGCCTCTCCCTGCAGCCTCATTCTCATCACAAGATCCAGTGACTGGTATGCTAAAGCCAGACCTCAGCCCCCTGGCAGCCATTGTCAGGGAATAGGGTTCCAGCTCTTCGTTTTCTTTTGGTCTCAGTTGCATTTTTGTCCTCCATCCAGCTGCATGGGAGGGTGTGGTGAATTATGGCTGCGGCCTAGGGGCGATGGAGTCAGCCAGAGCTGAGCTCCATGTGGGAACTGCTCCCTGTTGGGCCTTTCTCACTGTAAGGGTGAGTCCTGTGGGCTTCCATGCCCAGGAATGACTATGGCCCCACAGCTGCTGCCAGGAGCAGCCCAGGCCCCTGTATACTTGCTCTGAAGGGTCACGGTGAGACTTGGGCTGCCCCAGTGGGAGCACATGGCCAGCAGAGAGCTTGCAGAGGGCACCCAAGAACACAAGTGCCAGTCCCAAGGCCCCATGTCCACTTTGCTGGCCATGCAGCCTGGGAGCTGGTGGGACTATGAATAGAGTCCCTTCGACCCGGCTTCAAAGTCCTTGGTGGTGATGCCTGTGACCCCTGGTAGGGTATCCTGCTGGTATACGACATCACCAATCGCTGGTCCTTTGACGGTATCGACCGCTGGATTAAGGAGATCGATGAGGTAGGAGCAACCTGTGGGCACCCCCTCCTTGGACCAATGCCATCTAGCCCCTGTTGACACTCAGCCCTTGGCCCAGTTGTGTATTGCTTTGAGCCCTGTTCACACAGCTCCTGCCCCATAGCTAACTCGGGGCAGTGCCCTGGGGCCCAGCTCAGGAGTCTGAGTTCCACCTTCTGTCTTCTGGCTTGACCCCATCTGGTCACAGAATGACAGGGCCCTACCTGCTTTGGGTGGGGGGGTTCCACATTACTGCTTCTGATGAGTCATGTGCCCCCCAAGCATGCACCTGGGGTCCCCCGGATCCTGGTGGGGAACCGGCTTCACTTGGCCTTCAAACGGCAAGTCCCGACTGAGCAGGCACGCGCCTACGCAGAGAAGAACTGCATGACCTTCTTCGAGGTCAGCCCTCTCTGCAACTTCAATGTGGTGGAGTCCTTCACAGAGCTCTCACGCATCGTGCTTATGCGCCATGGCATGGAGAAGATCTGGAGGCCCAACCGAGGTGCATGGGGCCACGGGAGCGGGGCTGTCTCCTCTGCTGCTATGGGGGGCAGGGGGCGTGGTCCCTACATGTGTCTGGTTTGGGGGAGAGGGTTGGAGCAGGTTTCCCCTCCCGCATGCCTGCTCTTCTGCTCTGCTGCTGGGGCTTGGCCACTTACCTCCCACTCCTCTCTACACGTTGCCCTGCCCTCCCACCTGCAGTGTTCAGTCTGCAGGACCTGTGTTGCCGCGCCATCGTCTCCTGCACACCCGTGCATCTCATCGACAAGCTGCCGTTGCCTGTCACCATCAAGAGTCACCTCAAGTCCTTCTCCATGGCCAATGGCATGAATGCTGTCATGATGCATGGCCGCTCCTACTCATTGGCCAGTGGTGCCGGGGGCGGTGGCAGCAAAGGCAACAGCCTCAAGAGGTCCAAGTCCATCCGGCCTCCACAGAGCCCCCCGCAGAACTGCTCGCGGAGCAATTGCAAGATATCCTAGCAGGCAGGTCCTCTGGGACGCACCTTGGCCTGCTGGTCTCGGCTGGGACGGGTGCCACAGGACAGCAGAGGCTCTGCTGTGCAGCCAGAAGCAAGAAGTGCCAGGAGGCAGCTGTGCCCGTGCCACCCTGACTGCCCAGCATCTGACTGCTGTAGACAGCGCCTTCCTCTCCTGCATAGCCGGGGGGCAGCAGGGAGCAGATATACAACTGTGGGAGGCTCGTCAGGACATTTGAGAGGGCGGGACAGCTGCCACAGCGGACCTTTGCATTCACAGACCCCCCATGGCAGACAAGTGGGCAGACTCTGGGCATCTGTTGGGACTGTGTCCAGGTGCCCTCTGCACAGTGCTGTCTCGACTCAGGCAGCTCATCGGCCCCTGGGTGTGGCATCAGTGAACCCAGCCCGCTCAGCTGTGTCACTTGGGAGGCCGTGGAACTGTCTGGACATGTGAATGCCTATTGAGCGAGCGCCTATTCTTGGCAGCTTCTGTCCCTGACCTGGGAGTGAGCGACCCAGAGCTGTTTCCTCACATTTCCAAGTGACAACCTAGTTGGCCACAGTGGTGGACACTGAGCCGCTTGAGGACCCAGAGGCCAGCCCTGCGGGAGGCCTGGCCCGACCACATTGGTGCTGAGCTCTACCTCCTGCCCATGGCCCCATCTCGGGTCAGGTCCCCCTTGCTGCAGGACCCCTGGCAGTGTGCACCCCTCCTGGTACCCTCATCAGCCATGCCACGAGCATGGTGGGGTGGGGCCAAGCAGCGCTCTTTTCTTTGGACTTCGAACCAAATTTCATGAACTCTTGGGCAGCCTGGAGGGTCCCGCGTGCACGTCCCACACTACCTTTGCTGCCATGAGCCGTGGCAGCTGAGCTTTCCCGACTGTTTCCTTTGTACAGTAAATGTCACTGAGATCTGCATGTGTGCCGATGATCAGCTTCGACCTGGCCTAGTGTGGGTGAATGGTGCTGGGTACTGGCTGTTATGGCGAGTCTGTGCTGCGTTTCTCAGGACACCTAGGGACAACCCTAAGGGTGGGCACCCCTGGCTGACAGGCTGCGGTGGGGGTGGCGCCACAGCGGGGAGGACTCGAACCTGGTCACGGACACTCCAGGGGGAAAGCCACTCACTGTGGAGGAAGCAGGGACTCAGCCCACAGCAGGAGTGACCCCTGGACCACAGCTTCTGGTGGCAGGTCTGTTTTCTTCTGAACCTCAAGCTCTGACCAGAGTCGGGGATGGGCCTGGGGAGGGGGGCAAGGGTGTCCCTACATCTGGGGGGCGGGGGTCCCTCAGTCTATTTCTGACTAGAGGGGCTCTTCATCCTATTCTGCTTCGAGAGCCAGAGGTCAGAGGAAGGTTGCGGGGCCTGACCCAGAGGGCCTGGCTCATTCCAGGCGGCCTTTGTCTTGTTCCCTCCCGTGGAGGAGGGGCCTCTTCAGCTGGGCTCCTGGCTTTCTGTTGCCCTGAGCAGCTCTAAGAACACTTGCTGTGAGTGTGTTTCAGGGGCCCCCTGAGATTTAAATCTTGAGCAGACACCGGCTTTTGTCCCCAGCCCACTTCTACACTTCCTGCCATGCCTGGGTTCCATGGGAGACCCTTGGAAATGCTGAGTCCTCCCCACATCAGCTTTGGGCAAGGAAAGGCCAGTCTCCTGAGGCTGCCCCAGGGGCCTCCAACCCGTGGACGGGTTTGGGCTGGCCTCTGAGAGGTGGCAGGGTGACCCAGAAAGGTCCTTGGGAGGGGCCAAAGTAGTACAAGCATGCACTGACTTGAGCTCATTCACCAGTGTTCGCTAGATTCCCTGAGCACAGAGCCAGAGGAAAGCTCTGAGCGCTGCCCAGTGTTTCTTAAACCAAAAATAAAGGTCCCCGTGAATCTGGGCTCCTCCAAGGGACACTCCGCCACACTGGGCTGGACAACACGGCACCTGGGCTAGCCAGGAGCACTTTAGGAAATCCAGGGCTGGTGTCTGGGGGTGCGGGGGGGGGACCCTGGGACTGAACTGCCCTGAGCCCAGGCCCCTGTTGTGTGGTGACCCCTGTCCTGCAGAGGAGCAGCTCCGGTTACACTGGTCAGAGCCGGCCCCCTCCTCTCCCCGCCCCCTTGCCCTATGCTGACCACACAGGGCTGGGCGGGGGAGGGGTTGGCGCCACATTCAGGGGCTCCGCGTGGAGACCTGGGGCGGAACCCAGCCCCTCAAAGCAGGGGCATTGGAGGGACCATCTGCTGTGGCCTCTTCCTTTGGGGGCCAGAGAGGCCCAAGGAGTGGCGGGAACACCAGAGCAGGGACATTGCATAAGGCCAGCAGGGTGGATGCTGGTGGGGAGCAAGGGCCTGAGGTGGTGTCTGGCCAGTCAGCCCAGTGAGCCCTTCTGCCCCAGTGTTCTCCATGCCGGCCCTACAGCTTTTGCTCGTCGTCGGGCTGACTGTTGGGGCGAGTCTCCCGCTAGAACTGGGGAGTCACCCAGGGGTGTGCCCCAACCAGCTCAGCCCGAGCCTGTGGGTGGATGCCCAGAGTACCTGTGAACGCGAGTGCGTCAGGGACCAGGTGAGTGGGCAAGGGAGTGGATGGCATAGGTAGTACACCCCTCTGCAAAACACGGGGGGTAGGGGGGCACAGAGTCTGGATCACTCCTCCCCTCCTGTCCCTCCCCCACCTGCCCTATACCTCCTCCCTTCTACTCCTCCCAGTCTCTTTCTCCTTTCTCCCCTTCTCCCAGTCCTCTACCTTCTGCTCTTCCCCCACACTGCCCCTCCTCCTGCTGCCTGGAATCCACCCTCTCTTCCTCTGTCACCTCCTTTTCCTCCATCATGTTCTCCCCCATCTTCCCACTCCTCCCACCCTGCCTCTGGCGTTCTTACTGGGGCTCTCAGCTATGCTCATTTGAGAGTCCGGGGCACACACCAGGCTTTGCCCTTTAAGTGTCTGAAGAATGACCCCCTTCTCCCTTCCCTGGACACTCACTGTTCCCAGGGTCAGCGCCCACAGCTCTGGCTATGCACTTGGGGCCCCCACACTCTGGGGGTTGGGGGCTGGCTGAGCAGTTTGCACATCTCAGCTGATCTGTTTCCTCACCTGGTGAGATCCGGTCTTGATGGGGGGCAGCAAGAGGAGAACTCAGCATTCCAGAGGCTGGGGGGCGAGCAAGGGGCTCAGGCCATGCTGACCCCATCCCACCCACAGGACTGTGCTGGGGCCGAGAGATGCTGCACGAATGTATGCGGGCTTCGGAGTTGCGTGGCAGCCCGCTTCCCAGACGGTGATGGGGTCCCTGATGCGCCTGACCTAGTGGCCTCCTGTGAGGGCTTCGCATGTGCGCAGCAGGGCTCAGACTGCGACATCTGGGCTGGGCAGCCTGTCTGCCGCTGCCGGGACCGCTGCGAGAAGGAGCCCCACTTCACGTGCGCCTCGGACGGCCTCACCTACTACAACCGCTGCTACATGGACGCTGAGGCCTGCCTGCGCGGCCTGCGCCTGCAAGTGGTATCCTGCAAGCACGTGCTCAGCTGGCCGCCCAGCAGTCCGGGGCCACCCGAGGCCACAGCACAACCCACGCCTGCCGATTCCCCGGTGCCCCCGGCCCTCTACAGCAGCCCCGCCCCGCAGGCCGTGCACGTAGGGGGCACAGCCAGTCTTCACTGCGATGTCAGCGGCCGCCCTGCACCCGCCGTGACCTGGGAGAAACAGAGCGACCAGCGGGAGAGCCTGATCATGCGGCCGGACCAAATGTATGGCAACGTGGTGGTCACCAGCATCGGGCAGCTGGTGCTCTACAACGCCCGGCTGGAGGACGCCGGCCTGTACACATGCACCGCGCGCAACGCCGCGGGCCTGCTGCGCGCCGACTTCCCGCTGTCTGTGGTTTCGCGGGAGGCCCCCAGTGCCCCGGAGCCCACCAGCGCCTGCCAGCCCAACCCCCAGGCCTGCGCAGGACCCCCCTCCGGCCGCGTCCTCTGGCACTATGACCTGCAGCGCGGGGGCTGCATGACCTTCCAGGCCCGCAGCTGCGATGCAGGCTTCCAGACGTACGACGCATGCCAGCGGGCGTGTGCACGTGGCCCAGGGGACGCCTGTGCACTGCCACCCGTGCAGGGGCCATGCCAGGGCTGGGAGCCACGCTGGGCCTACAGCCCGTTGCTGCAGCACTGCCACCCTTTCATCTTCAGCGGCTGCGACGGCAATGCCAACAACTTCGAGAGCCGCGAAAGCTGTGAGGATGCCTGCCCCGTGCCGCGAGTGCCTCCCTGCCGTGCCTGTCGGCTACGCAGCAAGCTGGCGCTGAGCCTGTGCCGCAGCGACTTCACCATTGTGGGCCGTGTCACTGAACTGCTGGAGGAGCCGGAGGTCAGCGGGGGCATCGCGCGTGTCGCCCTGGACGACGTGCTCAAGGATGACAAGATGGGCCTGCGCTTTCTGGGTACCAAGTACCTGGAGGTCACACTCCGTGGCATGGATTGGACCTGCCCCTGCCCCAATGTGACAGTGGGCGACGGTCCGCTGGTCATCATGGGCGATGTGCGGGATGGGGTGGCTGTGCTGGACGCGGGCAGCTACGTTCGCTCCGCCAGTGAGAAGCGTGTCAAGAAGATCTCAGAGCTGCTGGAGAAGAAGGCTTGTGTCCTGCTCAACCGCTTCCAGGACTAGGCTCCTGGGGGCAGAGCTGCAGTACAGGCTGAGAGGGCGTGTGCCTCCCATGCAACCGATCAGGGTTCGATCCCCAGCATTCCATATGGCACCACTGAGCATTGCTGGGTATGACCCCCCAAACAAAAACAAAACAACAAAAATAACCGGACGAGGCTCCTATTTGCTGCTCAACTGCTTCTGGGTCTAGCCTCATCGTCACCCTGGGCCTCCGTTCCCTGCCCCCACTCCACCCTGTGTGCCCACCCCTGTCTCCTGTGGAATAAAATGATTTCCTAGAGGCCTGCTGTGCTGCCACCCCCCTCCCTCCCGCTTCTGCATCTGCAGTGAAGCTTCAGCTGAGGGCCCTCAGGGAGCCCCAGTGCTCCCCTGGGGAGCCTGAGGACACAGACACAAGCCTCTTGAATAAGGACAGAAGCCAGTGGTGGCAGTGTGGCCACCTTGGCTCTGGCATGACCAGCCCTCCCTTCCTTCTCTAGCCTGCAGCTCCCCAGCAGCTGCTCCCTCAGGCCCCCCAACCCTAACTCCTCTGGAGCTGTGGAATGTGGCCCACCCAGCAGTAGACACATGGCATCACAGCAGCCAGTACTTTATTCCCAGCTTCTCAGCAGCCAAGAGCCCCCAGACCCATCAAGGCAGTGATCCCGTGGGCTCCTGGGTCCCAAGAAGACAGGCGACAGGCCAGTGGTCTGGGTTTGTGCTCCTAGGGCACTCATCCGGGATGGATCACTGTTTCCGGAAGATGAGGCACTTGTTGTTAGCCGGCATGTCCACCTGGGGGAGACACTGGGCTGGAGAAGCTGCTGCCTCCCCAGGACATACCCCACACACAGCCCTCCCCACCTACCATCCTCTCCAGGGGAAGGCCAGCAGCCAGACCCAGACTCTCCAGGAGGGCCGTGTCCCGAAGTCCCCACTCCAAGTTCCTGCAGGGCAGAGGGAGGTGGAATCCAACCCGCAGGGGTCAGCCCAACAGCCCTGGCACCAGGCCGCACTGGGCAGCTCACCTGCATCTGAGGGTCAGGTCAAAGTCCACATTGCTCTGGGGAGAGATGGTCCCGTTGACTGCATAAGGCTGTGGGGACAACACAAGCTGCCCGCTGGTCCACGGCTGCCCAGTACAGGGCCCCAAAGAAGAAAGGGCATTCCTGTCTGTCCCTGGGGTGGGGCAATGCAGGGGTGCAGGATCTACGACCAGTGAATAGGCAGTGCTCTAAATGGCCTGGTGAGCGCAGCTACAGGAGGCTGGAGCAAGGTAAGGTCTGTGCAGAGAGCACTTACCCCATATGTGATGAGCACTGCCTTGGGCTTCAGCAGGTGGCCGGCTGCTTTGAAGAGCCCCTGGTGAAGGGGAGACAGACTGGCATGAGTGGTTTTCCTAGGCCCCCAGAGAACCCTGGGCTGGGAGTTGGAGACTCAGATGGCCCTGCATCATGTTCAGTGCAACGGGGGGTGGTGGGATCCAACATGCCAGCTCCCCCAAATCCCAGGGTCGGCCTGCCGCACCCACAGACCTCGGTGCAGCTCAGAGGGCTGATGTGCATCATGTTGATACAGAGCAGCAGGTCCAGTGACTGTGGTAGGATCCCGCCCCACTGCTCCCAATCCCAGGTCACGTCCAGATATAGGGGGGCCTTCACGTTGGACAGCCCCTGGTGCTGCGTGGTGGCTAAGATGCTGTGGAAAGGCAGTGCGTGGGTGCGGTGCCTCTGCAGCCCTTCTCCGTGGAGGCTTACAGGGCTGGCCGTAGCGCCCACCCACTCGCCCGCTCTCCAGCCTGGCGATCGCACCTGTCCAAGCAGCGTTGGTCCACATCGGATGGCTGCCACTCGGCGTGGGGAAAGGCCCGTGCAAAGTGGGCCGCGTGCTGGCCAGATCCCGAGGCCACTTCGAGCACGCGGACGCCGCGCTGGGCCGGGTCCAGGTACTGCTTCAGCACGCGCAGGATGGGCTCCTTGTTCCGTTCCGCAGCAGCGGCCACCAGCATTGCGGCGTCTGGCAGTGCGCAGCAGACCTCGGGCTCGGGGCCGCGGGGCCCGCTGGGAGTTGTGGTCCGGCTGCCGCGGGGCCCGCTGGGAGTTGTGGTCCGGCTGCAGCGCCCAGGTTACCCCCACTCCACCCCACACTACAGTTCCCAGGAGGACGCGCGCCTCGTGTTAAGGAACCCACAGGTCCACAGCCGAGAGAGGCACGAGTGGGGGCGCGGCATGGAGTTTGGGGGACAAGGTTGCTAATGCCTCTCAGTTCCGCCGCACGCCGCCCATGGTAGTCCTGGCACTGTCCCTGTCTAAAACAGTTAACCCCGTCGCAATAGGTATTCCTTTCGGACTTCTTGCTCGCTTTTGCTTTGAAGATTCTTTGCTCGCAGTTAGACTTTTGAAGAAAAAAAGTGCGCCGCCCGGGAATCGAACCCGGGTCGCAAGAATGGGAATCTTGCATGATACCACTACACCAGCGGCGCTGTTGAGGCGGCTTCTGCGCGCGAGACTTAAGAGATTGTGACGCAACCGCCGTGTGCGCGCCGCCGCCACTCCAAGCCGATCTGGCGGGAGTGAACAGCCGGGGTCCGCGGCCGGTGTCCTTTGGGCGCCTGCACTCCACGGCAAGGAGCGAGGACGAGGGGCACGGTTTTGAGGATGATCTCCATTTGGGCTCGCATCACAGAAACCCTGGCAACCGCGAGTCCTTGCAGGTAGGACTAAGGCTGGGCTCGGGTCCGGGGGACTTCGGGGTGGGGGGTGGAGCTGGACTCTGCAGGGCGGGACTTTGACAGGGGTGGGGCTTTGTTGGGCGGGGCCACCAGGGGGCGGGGTCCTGTGGGCGGGACCGGGTGGGCAGGGCTCAGACGGTGGGCGGGCGGGGCGAGGCTTCTTCGGGTGGAGCTTCGCAGGCCCCGGGCGAGTGGGGGGGCGGGGCGGGTCGCAGGCAAGGTGTCCTGCGGGAGCCTGGGGCAAGGTCCAGACCTTGTTAGTCATTGAGGTGTCACCCTGGAGTCTCCGGATGTTCTGAGGAGTGGGTAGAAGTCAAGTCGGAGGCTAATTTGTAGTGTCCATCGGGGTCCTGTTTCTCTTCCTGGCCGTGGCGTCCAAACCAGTGCTGTGGACTGGGTGAAGGCAGCTCTCCCAAAGCAGCTCTGTTCTGATGCCTTTGCCAGTCGTCGTTTTGTGTGCAACAGGGAGGGTAGCTTCAGACTGGGGGACGGACGTGGCATGGGGCTGGGCAGCCAGCATGCTCTCCCTGCCCAGCCATGCTTGCCCTGAGGCCATCGGTGTTGGGACCCCCTTTCTTCCTTCTGCAGGCTTCTGGCCTCAACACCAGCTTCATCTTTTTCCATGTTTCTGAGTGGAGGGACAGCTAAGGCGAACCTCTGATGAAGTGGGGTCAGGCTCACCGCCACCACAATTAGCCCTAATCTGCGTGCCAGGTTAGTCTGACCCACACAGGGAGAGTCCAGATGCATATGGCAAAAGAAGGGCAATTTATAGTTTGGGGCTTCTTTTTATTCTTTTTTTTTTTAAGTGTTGGGGCCACACCCATGATACTCAGTACTGACTCCTGCCTCTGCATTCAGGGATCACTCCTGGTGGGCTCAGGGGACCATATGTGGTACCAGAGATTGAACCTGGGTTGGCCACATGCAAGACAAGCGCCCCACCTGCTGCACTCTCGGTCTGGTCCCACTGGGTTAGGCTTGGTTCATTGCCAAGGGTCCTTCAAACTTGTCTTTCTGTTCCCCTTTCATGTGTTAGACACTGGAAGATTCCATGCCCCACACTGCAAATTAAAACAGTGATGACTGTCCTTTTTTATGCCCAGGAGAGTTGCCAGGGCAGTCTGTCTCTGCTCAGCCACGGGGCGCTGCCCAGATGCCCAGCAGCAGCTGAATGGCACTGGACCTCAGAGAACACATGGCTCTGCCAGCTGCATGTCTGCCCTGGCAGAGAGCTGGAAGTTGAGAGCAGCTCAGAGCATGTGTGCAAGCTGGGCTGGAGTGTGAGGCAGTATGTGTGGGCGCAGGTGAGTGAGCTGGTGTGAGCACAGCTGAGTGGACATGGGGTATGGGATGAGGGCAGGGGAGAGGACACAGAGCATGGTGTGAGTGCAGCTGAGTGGACACGGTATGGTGTGAGGGCAGATGAGTGGACACAGGTGTATGGTGTGAACTTGTATGAGCACAGGTGAGTGGCGTGTGTGGTAGGCACACCATATGCACACACAGGCAGCCTGTCCTGCGGAGATTGGAGTACCCAGTCTTCAGCTGCGGCCCAGCCACCTTGCTCAGGGACTCCCCAGGGTCAGCCGGTGGGGCCTTGTTCTCAGGCTGACGTTCTCCCAGGCAGCCGTCTTAGGAGGCTGGTCTGCACTGCGTGGAGGCCTCTGGCTGTGAGCAAACTTGTTCTTAAGGAGCATCCACTACGCTAACCCTCCTCCTCCTTGGCCAGGGGTGCTCCCTCCAACTTCCACTTCCAGGAGTCCCTCTTGGGGTGTGGCGGCCGAATGAGGGTCCACCAGTTGCCGGCTGCGCCCTGGTGCCTCTGCCCCTGCTCCTCGCTGCTCCTTGCAGGGGCTCAAGGTCCCACCACATGAGGTCATGAGGCTTGAGGCCCTGGGTCCCTTGTCAGTGCGGGAGGCCTTGAGGCCCCAGGCCCGCTGACCCGATGCTCACTTGGCAGAGAGCCATGGAATGAGTGACTGACCGCAGGGCCCCCAGAGTGGGAGAGGACTGCATGCTCAAGGACACTGGGGCAGCAGGCAGCGGCACATGATGTGTGCGCACACTGGCCTGATGCCACTGGGAGGGGCGCCAGGATGGGGGGCAAGAGGGGTCGGCTGGGAAGGTCAGGATCCTCAGGCTGCCAGCAGGGCCTCTCCTCAAGGTCACTGGCCCACATACTGTCCTTCAGCTTGGCTTCCGTTGTGCTCCAGCAGAGTCCAGGGTGTCCGGGGACGGAGAGGAGTACTGCCCACTCACCCTGGGACAGGGCAGGGGCCCCTATAGGCCCCTATAGGCCACTTTCCCCTTTGCTGGCTGCTGCCTGGCCCCTCAGTGCTCACTGACCCCGCCTCAGGCCCCCCAGGGGGCGATTGCGGGGCTGCACAGGAGCCATTCTTGCAGCAGCCCTGTCTGAATCGGGCCCTGGACACCAAAGCGCCTCATGTGTTCCTGGGGGCTGGCAAGAGCACCATAGGCTATGCAGTCTTTGATGTGGGAGGTCAGTACTGTCCCTGTCACACAGTCCGGAGCGCAGCCAGATCAACCCAATGAGGAGGAGAATGCAGGGACCGGTACAGAACCCCTAGGACCCAGAAGAGTCTTGGGGGCAGAGTTCACAACTGTGACAATCCTGCAGCGCGGACACTGTGTGTGGACACAGGAAGGGAGGGCCTCAGACCCCCTTTACCGGAACAACGGGTGGGCTACGGGGTACATCAGCCTCCAGGGGGCACTGCCCATAAGGGCATCCTGGCAGCTCCAGGCAGTGGCCCTGAGGGGCTCTCACTGGGTGCCATGGGTCTCCACTGCCCCTCTCTCAGGTGCCCACCTCCCACGTTGCCCCCCGCGAGGGAAGGGCTTCCTCGAGACCCCGCAGACGCGTCTGATGCCGGTCTCCGCCGCCCTGCTTGCAGGTCTCTCATTTCCACCCCAGAAGCCCTGTTCTCTCTCCTCACATCTTTAGGTGTGGATGAAAGTTATCTCGTCTCACCAAAAAGCAAACTTAAAACTCCCCTGACACAAGGTCCTGGACTGCAGCGGGCACAACCTTTGCTCCAGGAGGCCCCACGGAGCAGCCCCAAGACGGTCAGGGTTAGGGCCAGGGGCGTCTGCTCCTTGGACATCGTGGTTGTCCACGCAGCGTTGGACGGTCATCAGAACCCAGCACACCCCCGAGGCCCTGGGTCTGGGGAGACGGGGACCAGAACTCGCCCCACTCGCTTTCGGGACCCGCCCGGCTCCACGCGCACAGCCTGCAGCGGCGGGCGCGGGCCCTTTAAGAGCCGGGGGCGTGTAGCGGGCCCGCCCCGCCCCGCGGCTCCCCTTAAAGGGGCCGCGCGGCGCCGGCGCGGCGGGCGGAGGGCCGGAGGCGCGGGCGCACCATGTACACCATCACCAAGGGGCCCAGCAAGCTGGTGGCGCAGCGTCGCACCGGTGCGCGGGGCGGGCGGGGGCAGCCGGTGGGGCCGGCAGGGCCCGCGCGCGGCCTGCGGCGGCTGACGCGGCCCCCTGCTGCCCGCAGGTCCCTCGCAGCAGCAGGTGGACAGCAGACTCGGCGAGCTCCTGAAGGGCCGGCAGCCCGCGCCGCCCGCCGCGCCGCCCCCGCGGCCGCCGCCGGGCCCCTGGCCCCTGTCCAGGTGAGGCGCGCGCCGCGCCCGGGCCGCGCGGGGCCCGCGGTGACCTTGGGGAGGTGAGCGGGCCGCGTGCTCCGGCCGCGCGCTTCCGGCTCACCTGGCCCGCGAGGAGGGCAGAGGCGCGGGGGCCACGGGGCAGGGGCAGGGGCAGGGGCAGGGGCAGGGGCGGGAGGTGGGCTCAGCCCCTCCACCCCGCGCAGCAGGCAGCCCCGTGGCTGCAGCCCTCCCCGGGCCTCCGGAGGGAGGCCAGCCGGGTGGTCCAGGTGTCTGCGTCCGAGCCCCGGACGCTGCTGTTGGGAGCGGGTCGCCCCTAGGGCGCTGCAGGAACGGCAGTGCTTCACATCCTCTCCTGCTGGACTTGCCCAGGAGGAAGTGGGGTGCCACTGCACCCCAGCACCCGGCTGCCATGGCAAAGGCCTGCAGGGTGGCCAAAGAGCGTTACAGAGCAGGGAGCTCACAGGGCGACAGAGGGGCTTGCGGTGAAGTCCCGGCGCCGCCACCTGCAGTGACCAGTGACCTTGGGCAGGTCACTCCCGTCTTGAGCCCGGGAGGGTGGTGGAGGACGCACAGGTGGGAGCTGAGCAGAGCTGGGGCCCCTGCGCCCAGGGTGCAGATGGGGTAGATGTGGGTGGACTCTGTCCACAGCAACCCCCACTTTTGTGCACCCGGAGGAGCCCCTGAAACCTTGGCTGCCGCGGGAGCCCGCCTGGGATCCCCAGGCCCTTGCCCAAGCCCTTGTCCCCTCCCCCCCCCAAACACACATGCACACACGTTTTTCTCCTTCTCCCAGCAGCTCTGGGCAGGTGGGTGGGGCCTGTCTGCTCAGGCCGTTTGCCCCGCTAGTTTCTCAGTGCCCCCAGCCTGCCGGAGGGGGCTGGTGGGGCCGGTGCCCCTCAAGACGCGCCTCTTTGTTGTAGCGTCCCTCTCAGCCGCGGAGGAAGGCCTGAGCCGAGGAAAGCCAGCAGGCCAGCGGGACCGCGGCTGCCTGGCGGAGCGGCTTGAGCTGCCCAGGACTCCCGGCTCCGGCTGCTGTAGGTGCGCCCGCCAGCAGCACTGCCCCACCCCTCACTGTGCTAGACAGACAGTGCCTGGGAGAGGGTCTTGGGCACGCTCTCGCACCCACACTAGGCCTTTCAGGGGGAAGGCACAGGGGTGGGGGCAGTGACCCAGGACAGAACTGGGTTGTGGAGGCCTGGCTGGTCAGGGGAGGTGGGGGGCAGCGGGGGGGGGCCTGGGGCCTGGCAAGGGCACCCATGTCCTGGAGCATGGAGTCGTGCCTGGGACACATCTGGGAACAGTGTCTGGGAGCATCAGGGCCGGCCTGTGGCCATGGGATTGGGACAGTCACCAACCATCTCACCTTTCCTACAGTTCAGGGCCGAGGCTCGTGTTCAACCGGGTGAATGGGCGGCGGCCCCCTGCCATGTCCCCCTCCCTGGAGGGGGCCCAGGAGCCGTACACGCTGGCCCACGAGGAGAACGTCCGCTTTGTGTCTGAAGGTAGGTCGTGGGGCCGCACGCTTCCCCTCTGCCCGTCTCCTGTGGCCAGCAGCGAGGCAGCTACATACCTCGTTCTGGGCTGCTGTCCAGGGTGGCTGCCAGGTGGGAGCAGGTGCCGGGGCCCAGCTCAGCTTCGCTGTCCTCCCACAGCCTGGCAGCAGGTGGAGGAGCAGCTGGGCACTGGCTCGGCTGGTGAGAGCGGTCTGAGGCCAGTGCAGTATGTGGAACGGACCCCCAACCCCCGGCTGCAGGGTGAGCCTCCCTCCCAGGGTCCCCTCTGATCTCATCCCGGCCCCCAGGGTGGGTCCCAGGACAATGTGGGTCCTGGGGAAGCCTCACTGCTCTGCTCCCGGTCCTTCCTGCAGGCTTCGTGCCCATAGACCTGGACGAGTGGTGGGCACAGCAGTTCCTGGCACGGGTCACCAACTGCTCTTAGCCACTGCTGGAACGAAAGAAGGATGCCAGGAAGCAGGCCACTGTTCGGGGCTGCCCTGCCCGCAGGCAGAGGAGTGCAGCACCCACACCATGCGGGCTACACCACAGGGACCTGCTGCGCCCGGCCTCGTGGGTGCTGCCGAGCCACCCCTGGAGGACCAGGGTCCGAAGCACCTGGAACTCCGTTGTTGCCGACCTCTGACCTCACCGTGCCAGTTGCCAAGGGTCAGGGCGGACCTGCTGACCTCATTCCTGCTCACGGTGCCCTGAGATCAGTCCTTGGGCTGGTAGTGAGAACCTCCAAGCTAATAAAGCTGAGAAACTGCCCTCAGAGAGTGATCTTTATTTGAGAGACCCAAGGGGACTCGGGGGCACAGTACCATGACAGACCCAGCTTTGTACTGACTGGGACTGTGCCCACACTGGCCTTCCTATGGCCTGGACAGGTGCCAAAACCCTGCCACTGGCCCCCCTGCTTCTGAGTCTGTCTTGACCCTACCTGCCCCTTCCTCTCTCTGATGGGGCCGCAGGGACCTGCAGATTTGCTTAACTCAGGACTTGGTTTTGGTTTTTGGGTCACACCCACTGATGCTCAGAGCTTATCCCGGCTCTGTGTTCAGGAATTACTCCTGGTGGTGCACAGGGGACCATATGGGATGCCAGAGACCAAACTCCGGGGTCAGCTGTGTGCAAGGCAGGAGCCCTCCGGCTGGCCTGGCTTTCAGATTTTTCTGCTGACTCCCCAACACCTGGAGTCTTTCAATGAAGTGTGGCTCGTGGCTGCTCAGAAACTTCTGACTTGCCAACTTCTCAGCCTTGCACCCACCACCTAACCTGGATTGGGCATGAGCCGCCAGGCCTGGCAGTAGAGTGGGGCATGGAGGGATGTGGGGCCTTAGATGCGTCTCCTCCAGGTGGGCCCATTACCGTGGCCATAAGGGACACGACCTGGACTACCCCATCCTGGAATGCTGAGGGGCCGGGAAGCCAGGGCGGGCGCCAGACTGGAGTGGTGGTGGGTGTGGACAGCTCCCTGACCGGCGCAGCCGTGAATATGGGGTGGGGATAGGGGGCCCAGGGGTTCAAGACCCTGCAGGCCGGCGCCCATCGGGCCACCGGGCCACCGCAGGGCTGTCTAGAGAACCCGAGAGGGTCCGGCTCCAAGGACGCCAGCGGGGAGACCTCGGAGCTCCGCGGGCAGTGGCCCGGAAGAGCCTCGCCCGGCCGGCCGCGCGATCACGTGCCCCGACGCCGGAAGTGGCGCTGTTGCCAAGCGGCCGTTGCTAGGCGCGCTGCGTAGCCGGTGGCGGCCGAGGCGGGAAGTGCGAGCGCCAGACCATGGCGCTAGGTAGCTGCGCTGGCCAAGGGAGGGGGTCTGGGGGTCCCTGGCCGCGGGGTGGGGGCCTGGGGGGAATCTCAGGCCTCGGGGTGGGGGCCTAGGGGGTTCCCTGACTTTGGTACCGGGGACTGGGAAGTCTCAGGCCACGGGGTAGAGGCCTGGGGGGGGAGGGGCGGGTCACAGGCCTCGGGGTAGGGGCCTGGGGAGGTTCCTGGTGGCCGGGTGGGGGCCTGGGGGATGTCAGGTTTCAGGGTGGGGGCCTGGGGCGTTCCCTAACTTCGGGACTGGTGCCTGGGGAGTCTCAGCCTGCGGGTGGGAGCCTGGGGGGGTTTGAGCCTCAGGGTGGGGGTCTGGGGGGATTCCTGCCGCAGGGTGTTGGCCTGGGGAGTCTCAGGCCTCCGGGTGGGGCCTGGGGGGTTCCTGGCCGCAGGGACAGGCCCTCGGGGGGGTCCCAGGCCTCCAGGTTGGTGCGAGCCAGTGTCCCGCTGGCGGGACCCACTCCCCCTAGTCCCCGCAGCGTGGCAGCAGCCGTTCCTCAACATCTTCAGACACTTCAAGGTGGAGGAGTGGAAGCGGTCCTCCAAGGAGGGTGATGTGGCCGCCGTGCAGGTAAAGGTGGCTTGTGGCTTCTGCGGCCTGCAGTGTGTGGCGTGCCCCGAGGAACTGGGTGCTGCTCCTCTTGCAGGACAAGACTCTTGGGTGCCGTGTCTATCGGGTCCGGGGCGCTGCCGCTACCAGCAGCTACATCCAGCTCCCGCAGACCGGCTCCCAGTCCCTGGGGCTCACAGGGCGGTACCTGTACGTGCTCTTCCGACCACTGCCAGCTAAGCATTTTGTTATCCACCTGGACGTGTCCACTGAGGTGCCACCGGGGTCAGGCGGGCAGAGCTTGGGGCCTGCGCCGTGCTGCTCCCTCTGACGTCCTGTCCTGTCCTGCCCCCGCAGCATGCCCAGGTGATCCGTGTGTCCTTCTCCAACCTCATCAAGGAGTTCAAGTCCACGGCCACGTGGCTGCAGTTCCCTTTGGTGTGCAGAAGCCAGCGGCCAGGGGAAGGTGGGGAGAGCCCAGCCAGGACAGGACAGGGGCTGGTGCTGGTTTATGAGTTTCAGCCTGGGCTGGCAGTGCTGATCGTTGCCTCCTGTAGGTGGGGTGGGGCCGGCTCCTCCTGGGTCGCGCTGGACCTGTCTGCAGGTGGACCTGCGGGACACACTCCTGGTCTACCTCGGCCAGCACTACAGCCATCTCAGGGCCGTGCGGCTGTGTGCCAGCCTGCTGGTCAGGAGCCTCTTCACCAGCGACCTGAGCTTTGACCCTGGTGAGGCCGATGGTCACCTCCCTCAATTCTCAGCCTACAGGGGCCCCACTGGTGCCAGCACCTGCCTCCTTTGGCCCTCTGCTGGGCTGCAGGCGACCCCGGTCTGGGGCCGGGGCTGGATGGGGCACCCTCGAGCTGGAGAACTGCCTTTGCAGCTATCACCATCACCGAGGCCAGGCATTCCAAGCTGCCCGTCACCCCCATGCCACGAGAAATGGCGTTCCCGGTACCCAAGGGGAAGTGCTGGAACGACCTCTACCTGTACCTCCGGTAGGCACCTCCCCGTTGCCCAGCCCCAGCCCAGGCCCACCCAGTCTGACCACCGTCTGTCCCACCCAGGTTCCCTGCCTGTGCTCTGAGTTCATCTTCGCAGCTATGCCTGAAGGGCCGGTTCCCTCCTGAGACAGGTGGGCTGGAGGGCCAGGGGGGCCTAGTGGGAGGCCAGTCCTGGTGGGAGCCATGCCTGGGGTGGCATCGAGGTGCAGCTCTGTGGCTCTAGTAGGGCAGACTGGCTGCGCTGTCCATCCCGGGGCCAGAGCCCCAGTTCCGACTCTGCATGGCGAGTTCTCTGCTCTGTTGCAGCATCCCAAGGGCCACCACCCCCATGGCAGCCTGGCCCAGGAGCCCTCAGCAGGCCAGCTCAGCAGGTGGGTCCTGTGTTCTGTGCCCAGGGGCACAGGCTGGACAGCCCTGGGCACTGACAGTCTTTTCCCTCCGCAGCCCTTCCGGGCGCATGGGGCCCCGAGGCCCAGCCTGAGGGACGCAGGCAGCAGGGGCCAGCTGTGCGCCCACCTGGAGGCGAGCTCTGCCCGAGGAGGGGTCATGCCCTGTCAGCCGCAGAGCCCAGCTCTGACGGTTGCCCCGCCGTGCCCGGAGCTCGGTGGTGCACCTGCTGAGCCATCCAGCCGAGAACCTCTGGGCCAGGAGGCAGCTCCGGGCAAGAAACTTTCTCTGCTGGCGGTGAGTCAGGTGTGGTCTGGCCGCTCGGGTGGAGTCAGGGTCCTGGCCCCGCTCCTGCTGGACAGTCCAGGACAGAGACCCCTGGCCCCGGGCCTCAGGGCACCATCTTCTGTTCCAGAGCTTCCTCCCGGACCCCATCCTGAGGCTCAAGGGGGTCATTGGCTTTGGGGGCCCCAGCGCCAAGTGGGTGAGTGTGCCCTGTACAGTAGCAGAGCTGTGAGACCCGGGCTGTGTGGACAGTGGCCTGTGGGGGTGCCCCCCTGCAGCAGCCCCTGGGGAGGAGCTGGGCTGTCACATGGCTTCTGACGACTGCGTCCCCCCACTCCCGGCTGCAGGCCCTGTGGACCAGGGATGGGGCAAGCGTCCTGTACCCCTGCCACGCCGTCATCGTGCTCCTGCATGTCCAGACTCGAGAGCAGCGCTTCTTCCTCGGCCACACGGACGAGGTGGGTGCCTGGGCAAGGGACGGCCCTGCTCCCAGGTTAGGGCGCTCCCTCAGCCTGCGCCTCCCCAGGTCTCCGCCCTGGCCCTGGACGGGAGGAGCCGGCTCCTGGCTTCAGCACAGGCCCGTTTCCCCAGTGTGCTGCGGCTCTGGGATGTCTGCAGTGCCCGGTGCCTCTGCCTCTTCCATGGCCCGCTCCACTCCATGTGCTCGCTCAGGTGGGCTGTGGCGTTGGGGGGCTGGAGGGGTCACCCGGGCCACAATGACCCCCTCCTCTGTCCACAGCCTCTCGGACAGTGGGACGCTGCTCTGTGGTGTGGGCAAGGACGGACACGGGAGGACCGTAAGGAGCTGGGCGGGGGGTGGGGGTCCACGGGGCAGCACCTGGCAGGGGGGCTGAGGAGGGGTCCCTCTTGACACCCATGGCCACACTTTCTGTAGCTGCCCAACATTCAGTGCTGGAGCATCGCACCTCTGGTGTGGAGAACCCCCAGCCATGGACCCACCTCCTCAGCACCCAGCAAGGGCCCACAAAGGGGTGCTGTGGGACTCAGTGAGGCCCATTGCAGGTGGTGATGGCATGGGGCACCGAGGAGGTGGGACATGGTGGCGAGGTGGCCGTCCTGGCCAAGGTGCACACTGATGTGGACATCCAGACCTTTGTGGTGGCCAGTCATGACGAGACCAGGTGATGTGGGGAGACAGTAGTCACTTTAAATCCAGACTTTACGTCCACTTTAAGTCTGCCTCTTTAAGTCCAGACAGGCCAAGAGTGCTCACCCTCCTTCCTTAGTCACTGACAGTGCTCACCCTCCTCCCTCAGGCACACACAGGGCTCACCCTCCTCCCTCAGGCACACACCGGGATCACCCTCCTCCCTCAGGCACACACCGGGCTCACCCTCCTCCTCCCCCCTCAGGATGGCCTCATGTGGACGGGGCAGTGTGCGACTGTGGCGGCTTCGAGGTGGGGAGCTGCGCCCCTGCCCCGTGGACCTGGGGGAGCACCATGGCCTGCACTTCACGGACGTGGCCTTTTCACGGGCCCAGGACCATACGCTGTGAGCCACGGCTCCCCTTCCCCAGCTGCCCGGGCCCTGCTCCAGCCAGGCCTCACCTCACCTGCACCCCGCAGCTACGCCAGCAGCCGCAGTGGCCACGTCCTGGAGGTGGACTCCCAGTGCCTGGCCGTGCGGCAGGCTCGCCGCCTAATGCCTGCGCAGTCCCCTGGCAGCCCAGTGCCGCAGAAGAGGACCTCCGGCTCAGGTTGGTGCCCATGGCCCCCGGACTCCTGTAGGTGCCCAGCACCCGCTGGGGAGTGGCTCTGGCTGACTGGGTCTCCCCCAGGTCCCGGCATTGCCATCAGCTGCATCAGCGTCTCCCAGACCCTGTGTGCCGTGGGGTCAGAGGATGGCCACCTGCGCCTCTGGCCCCTGGACTTCTCGGCCGTGCTGCTGGAGACGGGTGAGGCCTGAAGCCCCTCTGCTTCGATCTGCATCTTGGGCTGGGACCCTGCGAGCTGCCTGCCTGGCGGGAGCTGGAGGGCGGCAGGGTCACCTGTGGTCACCTTCCTCGCCTCCCCAGGGCATGAGGGACCCGTTGCCACCGTCCAGGTGAGCCCTGATGGGCAGCGTGTGCTGTCCACAACCTCCGCAGGCCTCCTGGGCTTCCTGGACGTGGTGGCCCAGGAGTACTGTGTGCTGGTGCGGGCTCACACTGGCCCCGTGCTCGCTCTGGCCACTGAGCACAGCCGTGGGCAACTGGCCACCGTGGCCCAGGACCACACCATCCGAGTCTGGGATTTGGCGACTCTGCAACAGGTGGGGGATGCCCTTGGGGCGGGTGGCACTGGCCGCCTGCACACGGCCCCTCACGTCCCTCCTGGCCCCACACCTGTGCAGCTATACGACCTGGTGTCTCCTGAGGAGGCGCCCCGGGCTGTCGCCTTTCACCCCACACAGCCCCGCTGCTTCTGTGGCTTCAGCAGTGGGGTCATGCGTGCCTGCAGCCTGGAAACCCCTGAGGTGCTGCTGGAGCACAGGTGAGACCCTGTGAGGGGGAGGGGAGAGGGCTGGGCACAGGTGAAGCCCTGCGGGGGAGATGTTCCTGCACTGTCTCTTTCTTGTCTGCAGGTATCACGAAGGAGCTATCACCAGCCTGGCCACCAGCCCCGATGGCAACTTCCTTTTCAGCACCTGCTCTCAGGGTGCCCTGGTCCAGTACCACTGTGCTGACCCCCAGTGTCCCGTGCTGCGGGTGGCAGGTGCGTCTGTGACCCGCCCGAAGGCCCGCCTCACCCCAGTCCTCACTCCAGGCCTCACCCCAGGGCCGGCCCAGGGTTGGGCAAGCAGGTTTGGAGAGTTCCTGGGCCTCTCTGCACCCGAGTCTCCCCCAGGCAGTTTATACCCTGGCTCCACTCTTGGCAGCTGATGTGGTGTGGCAGGAGGCCAGTGGGAACACCTTGGCCATCAGCTCGGACAGCCGCCTGCTGGCGTTCGTGGGCCCTTCTGGGCACATGGTGACCGTGGCAGATTCAGGCTCTCTGGAGCAGGTAGGCAGCAGGCACTGTCAGGTCCGTGTGTGCAGGGGCAGCACAGTAGCACGTGTACTGAGAGCTGGCCTCTTGCTTTGGTACACGGGGACTGACTCCTGAGCCTGAGGGCAGGGCACAGGTGCTGGGTCGTGCCCGAGCCACGTCCCTCCTGCTCCTCCAGTATGGGGGTCCAGAGGCACCCAGAGTTTTTGGCCAGTAGCTGCTGCTCTTCCCAGCTGCTGCAGGTGGACATCTGTGCCCCAGACCCGGCCAGCAGCCACGTGGACTCAGCCACAGCAATTTGCTTTGGGCCTGCTCCCCCTGGTCACCTGCTGGTGTCCACATCATCTGCCACAATCCTGGTGCTGGACGCTACATCTGGCCATATGGTCCGGGAGGTGAGCTGTGGCCCCGCCAGCCATGCGTGAGGCTGCACATGTGTGCATGTGAGCATGTATGTGTGTGAGAGCATGTGTATGAGGCTGTGTGTGACGTGCATTATGAATGTCATATGTAGGTGATGTGTGGTCACATGTGACTGTTATATACACGAGCGTGTGTTTCTCTGAGCGCATGAGATCATGTGAGTTATGCGAGTGTATGTGTGTGTGTATGAGGATGAGTGTGTGGGCATGCATGAATTATGTGAGTATGTGTGTGAGTTATGTGAGTGTGTGTAAACATGAGTGGGTTATGCTTGTGTATTAGCGTGTGTTTGGGGTCATGTGTGAGTGATGTGAGTGTGTGGCTGTGTATGTGAGTGCGTGTGACTTATGAGAGTGAATGTGTGTGTGTAAGTTATAGGAGTGTCCAAGCATGTGGACATGTGTGCGGGATGCATGAGTTATGCGAGTGATGAGTATGCATGCATGTGTACGAGCACGTGTGGGCATGTGTGAGTTACGTGAGTATCTGGTGCACACGTGTGGGCATGATGAGCAGGAGTGCCTATGATCCTGCCCAACCCCCCACCATGAGGCCTTCCATGCAGCTCTCCGGGATGCAGCCCCCAGCCTGCTCCTCCCTGGCGCTCAGTGCAGATGGGCGCTTCCTGCTCATGGCAGCAGACCGGGCTGTCAAAGTGTGGGACTACTCAGCGCGGGCCGGCCCCCGCTGCCAGGTGTGTGCTGGGATGGAGGGCCCGGGGGACGCCCCGCGGGCTGAGGGCAGCCTGTAGGGCAGAGGGGTGGGAAGACCTGGCTTGTCCCAGCTGTGACCCCCATAGGTGTTCATCGGCCACTCGGCGCCCGTGCGGGCTGTGGCCTTCACCCCTGACCAGCAGCAGGTCCTCAGCGTGGGGGATGCCATCTTTCTCTGGGACATCCTGGCTCCCAAGGAAGCAGCCCCGGGAAGGTGAGCGCTCGTGCTGTGGGCCATACCACCCTGGCACCCTGGTTGCAGCGTCTCCCATGTCCCCCAGTCCCTCCCGTGGCCCCCACATGCTCGTGTCCCTCCCGTGGCCCCTGCCCCCTGCCCACAGCTCTCTCTCTTTGCAGTGCCCGGGCTTTGCTCACAGACCCCGAGCCGCATGAGGCTGGTGAGTGTCTCCCTGACGCCAGCATGACGTGCAGTGGTCAGTCTTATGACTTTTCCTGGGGGTCCTGGGCCCACCCCCTCCTGTCCTCCAGCCCTGCCTGCAGCTGACATCTCCCTCTGCAGGACCGGGGCCTGGACAGCCCGAGGGCACCATGTCCAAGGCCAGTGAGCACTCCCAACCACAGGCCCCAATGTGTGGTCAGGGTGAGGGCCTGGGCAGCCCGGAGGCCCCTGGGCCCTCTCCAGCCCTGTCCCTCAGAGCCTTCTCACCTGGGGACCACGAGGGAGCGTGTGAGAAGAGCCCAGGCTTCAGGGAGGCCGGCGCAGCCAGAGATGGGGCCTGGGGAAGCGGGGAACCTCCAGGGCTCAGGGCGTCTCCTGATCGCTGGCTCGGTAAGTGGGGGAGGGAGGACGCTGACCTTGCAGAGACAGTGGGCACTGTCCCTTGGGCTGCACCTTCCTGCCCATGGGGCCTCGTGCTGAGCACCCTCCCCCCGCAGGGGCCCCACACCTGAGAGCACCCCGCCCCACTGCCTGCGGGCCCTTCGCCGCCCACCACGAGGCCTCCAGGCCAGCCAAGGTGCAGGGACTGGGTGGGCTCCCCCAGCCACGCCCCTCCTTCCCTGCCCTGTCCCATGGGCCTCGTCCCGGGCTCCAGCGCCTGTGACCCACACCCTCGGGTGGGCCTGGTCTCCTGAGTCCACTCTTCATAGTGCGTGTCCTGGCGTCCTGCTGGCGGTGAGCGGCTGCACCTGAAGGCCGTGGTAGGCTACAGTGGCGGCGGGCGGGCCAACCTGGTCTGGAACCCTGACACGGGTAGGTGGCACCTGGGGGCCAGGGGCCAGGGCGGAGTGGGAGCAGGCGCAGTCTCCAGGTCACTGCCCACCATTACTGGGCCCTCATGGGACCTTTCCGGAGGGGCGGTCGTAGCAGGAGGTCGGGGACAGCGGCTCTGTCCTCCTCCCCACAGGCTTCTTCGCCTACTCGTGCGGCCGCCTGCTGGTGGTGGAGGACCTGCACTCTGGGGCCCAGCACCATTGGCTCGGCCACACCAAGGAGGTGTCCACACTGGCCCTCAGCCACAATGCCCAGGTGCCCACCCTGCCTGACCCCCTGTGTGCCCGGCTCCTTGGGCGCGGCTGGCTGTAGCACTGGGACAGCTGGGGGTACAGTGTTGGCCAGCTCCAGGCTGTACCTGCATTGTACCCGCCCAATGCCCTTCCTGCGCCCAGCGCCCTTCCCTGCACCCACAACCGCCCTTCTCTGCGCCCAGCACCCTTCCCTGCACCCACAGCCCCTTCCCTGCACCCAGTTCCTTGCCTCAGCCTCGGGTTGCAGACCCAGCCCCACTTGTGGCTGCTGTCAGATTCGTGTCTGGGACGTCCCTGGGGGCTCCTGCCGGCAGCTCCCTGAGCACCATGACGCTGCAGTGCAGGCCCTGGCCTTCTCGCCCGACGACCGGCTCCTCGCCTCGCTGGGTCAGTGGGGAGGCAGGGGGCCCCGCCCAGTCGCCCGCCTGGCCCATGCAGCTGACGGGCGGCTCGTCTGTAGGGGACAACTCTGACCGCACCCTGGCCCTGTGGAGTGTGGCCACCGCTGAGCTGCTGGCCTCTGTGCCCCTCCTGGAGCCCATGCACGGGGTGGCCTTCAGCCCCTGGGACGCTGGCCAGCTGGTGTGTGTGGGCCAGGGTGCCCCCACCTTCTGGCCCCTGCCAAAGCTCGGTGCTGGCACAGTCTTGCAGGTGGGGCCCAGCTCTGGTTCGGGATGGGGTCGGTACCCAGGACGCTGCTGACCCACTGGCCCCGGTGTCCGCAGGCGCACCAAGAACCTCTCTCCGCGGAGGTGGGGGCCGCCGAGCTGACCTCACTGTGCTTTGGAGCTGAGCCCCTGCTCTACTGCGGCTCCAGTGCTGGCCGGGTCTGTGTCTGGGACATGCATGCCCGACGCTGCTTCCTGGCCTGGCAGGCGGACGAGGGGGAGATCGGTGGGTGCCCTGTGCCCCTGCCCCCACCTCTCTCTGGATTGTGCCCGAACTCATGGCCTCCCGCCTACAGGGCTTCTGCGGTGCTCGGGCAGGTGGCTGGTCAGCGGGAGCAGCTCGCGGCGGCTGCGCCTCTGGGCCGTGGGAGCTGTCCTGGAGCTGTGGCATGCAGGCATGGCGGTCAGGTGCGTGCTTCCAGGCCAGTGCTGGGTGAGGGCTCCCCCAGATCCTGTGCTCACGCTGACCCCGCTGCACCTGCCCCAGGTCCAGCTCCTTGGCGATGGAGCAGGAGCTGAGTCTGGATGGCGCTGTGGTCAGCGCCGTCTTCCATGAGAGCATGGACATGGGTGTTGTGGGCACCACAGCTGGTACTATCTGGTTCATCAGCTGGGCTAAGGGCTCCAGCACGCGCCTCATCAGTGGCCACTGCAGTCAGGTAAGGCCATGGCCCTGGGGGGCTCTGGGGGACTGCCCTGGGATCTGCCCTGCCCACCCTCGTCTGCTGTGCTGGTGCCTTGACCGCTGGCCTGTCCCCAGCGTGCTGCTGGTGTGCTGCAGCTTATTCCTCGGGGTTTCTGTTTCCGTGTCTGGGGTCAGGACTGCTGGCTCTGTGCTCGGGGACCCTGTGGTACTAGGACAGAGCCAGGGCCCAGCCTACAGAGCCTTTCTTCCTGTCTGGGTTCCAGGTTCCATGAGTCCCCGTAGACTCTCGTCTCTAGAGCCCCCGGCCTCTCCCCAGCCTGCAGGGAATTCTTGGCCCGGAGGGTGCAAGGTTTAGACCTACTTTCGCCCCCGCCCCCTCCTACCCCCAGCCAGCTGCTTCCTGAGTGTTTTGAGGATTGCTGGCCCTGTGGGCAGCTGCTCAAGGCCGCAAGCCCAGTATCTGGCCTTGAGCTGCTTCCTGGCCGGTCGGAGTCATCACAGTTGGAGATGGGCCATGCATGGAGTCCCTGTGGTTCCCAGACCCTGGTGGGAGAGGGGGACCTACAGCCTCACCTGCGGGGGGGGGGGGATTGGTTGCTTAGGCCTGCTCGGGCCACCTCCAGCCCAGGTGCTGTTTGCCAGAGATCCCCCCACCACCACAGTGCTGGGAGCCATCTCAGGATCTCCTCGTACCAGGTGCTTGGCTGATCCTGGCCATCGGGAAACCGCAGCCTTGCCGACTGCCACGTGTGTGTCTGGGTCGGGCTGTGGCTCTTGGCACCGCCCGTGCCCCATGGGTGGGCCCCGGGAAACAGCACCAGCCTGGGGACTCAGGTGGAGGCGGGGCTGAGCGACCGCTGTCCCCGCAGGTCAACGAGGTGGCCTTCAGCCCCAGTGAGGCCCAGTGCGCCACCTGTGCCGACGACGGCAGCGTGCGGGTCTGGTCCCTTGCCAGCCTGGAGCTCTTGGTCCAGTTCCGGGTTCTGAATCAGGTATTCTCCCGAGGGGAGCCGGGCCAGCGCAAGGCCACACAGGGCAGCTCCAGCCTGCTGACGTTGGCCCTGTGGTCCCAGAGCTGCCTCTGTGTCGCTTGGAGCCCCCTGTCCTGCGGTCGTGCACAGGAGCAGCAGGTGGCTGCGGGCTACGGCGACGGCACCATGCGTGTCTTCAGCATCTCCCACACAGCAATGGAGCTCAAGGTCCAGCCGCACTTGGCCGCACTGACCACTGTTGCCTTCTCTGCCGACGGTGAGTGCCTGCCCAGGGCTCAGGGCGGGGAGTGGAGGGAGCAAGTGGTGACGGTGTGTGATCACGCCTGGTTCAGGGCAGACCATCCTCTCAGGGGACAGGACTGGGCTGGTGGCAGTGAGCCAGCTGTGCACTGGGATCACCCTGCGTGTGCTGAATGACCACCACGGTGCCCCCATCTGCACCCTTCAGAGCACCAGCAAAGAGGTGATGAGGCTTGTGAGGGGGTGGGGGATGGCCCCCAACTCTCCTTACCAGCCAGCACCCACCAGCCCTTCCTCCTTAGTATGGAGCCTTCGGGGTGGAGGGGGCGGACCTGTGGCTGGCTGCCAGTGGGGACCAGCAGGTCAGCATCTGGGCCTCTGATTGGCTGCGGGACCACTGCGGGCTTGTGGACTGGCTGAGCTTCCCAGCCCCCATCCTGGAGGTATGGACCTCCCCAGGTCTGGGGTCTGGGGACTGTCTCCATCCCTTGGGTGAGGGCTCCCCACCCTGGGTCTGGGGTCTGGGGAGTATCTCCATCCCTTGGGTATGGGCCTCCTTGGGGCTGGGGACTGTCCCCATCCTGAAGGCATAGGCCTCTTCAGGTTCCAAAATCAGGAACGACCATTGCTGCCATCTGCCCCTCCTCTCCCCAGGATCCTGTTCACCTGCCACCAACCCTTGCCACCTTCTGCCCCTGGGACCGGGCACTGCTGGTTTGTGCAGGTCTGGGCAAGTGCCGGGAAATGATCTTCTACAGCCTCCATCAGAAGCAGGTGTCCGCCTGCCTGGCACAGGGTCCCATTGGCTCGGGTAGGGAGTGTCCCAGCTCGGCAAGCCTTGGCCAGTGCCTCACACCCACTGCCCACAGGTTGTAAAGACCATCCCGCTGCCTGCCTTTGCCATGTCCCTGAGCCTGTCCTCCGGCCCACATCTTGCAGCCATTGTGTTGGCTGGTGAGTGCTGGTGGCCCCGGGCAGGGTCCCTCACCCAGGTACTCTGGCTCTTTGTCCCTAACGAGAGACAGTTCCCCTGTGGGGGATGCAGGGTGTGAGCAGCGCCTGAGCTGAGCCTAATTGTACCTGCAGAGCAAGTGCTGTGCCTGGTGGACTGTGGCTCAGGGGCCACACAAGACTTCATCGCCCACATGGGCCCCATGCAGCTCTGCCGCTTCTCCCCGTCTGCCGGACTGCTCTTCTCCGTGGCTCACAGCGAGATCTTGGTGTGGGAGCTTGTGCCTGCCGCCGCGGGTGTCAGCCCCCAGGAGCACTTGTGACTGGACCCTTGTGGTTGCCGCTGGCACCTTCCTTCACTGTCCCTCCTTGTACAGTTCAAATAAACAGCCCCTGACAGCCCTTGTTTGCCCAACCTGCCTGCCGGAGCTGGCCCCATGGGAAGGCACAGGCCTCGCTGTGCGCCTGAAATCTCCACTCCAGCTCCACGGGTCCCCTGAGCACTGCCCGGTGTGTCCCCAAAGCCCCCACAAAGACCCCAGCATAGTGCAGTGAGGCGGGCTCTTGCTTTGCAGAGCTAAATGGAGTTTGATCCCCAGCACTCAATATGGTCCCCTGAGTGATCCCTGAGCACCGCCGTCTGTGGCCCCCCCCAAAAAAAGATCCCAGGAAGCAGCGGCACTGGTCGCGGGGGCTTGGGGGTGGAGGCCCCCGTCACGCCTCTGGCTGAGGCCCCGCCCACTCCCGCCCTGGACCCCGGTGTCTGCGGTACCGGGCGCGTCCGCGCGGGGGCGCCGCTGCCGTGGGTCCGGCCCGCGCCTGCGCCGGCGCCCGCGGGGGCGGGGCCGGAAGTGCCGAGCGGAGCGCGGGGCCCGGACCGCGGGAGTCGGACCGGAGTTCGCGGGTCGGGCCGCCGGGCCATGAGGCGGGACGTGCGCATCCTGCTGCTGGGCGAGGGTAGGCGGGCGCGGCGGGCGCGGTGGGCGGGCGGGCGGGAGCGGCGGGGGCGCCGCTTACGGCCCTCCCTGCAGCCCAGGTGGGGAAGACGTCGCTGATCCTTTCGCTGGTGGGCGAGGAGTTCCCCGAGCAGGTACCGGGCGGGAGCGCCGCCTGCGGGGGTCCGGGGTCGCCGCCTGCCGGGTCCTGCCGTGCGGGGTCCGGGTGTCGCCGCTTGCGGGGTCCGGGGGGCGCCGCCCGCGGGGTCCTGCCATGCGGGTCCGAGGGCCGCCGCTTGCCGGGTCCTGCCGTGCGGGGTCTGGGAGTCGCCGCCCGCCGGGTCCGGCCCTGCCTGCCCATCGTGCGCCCGCGCCCCTCTTTCTGGGTGTGCCCAGGTCCCTCCCCGAGCGGAAGACATCACCATCCCCGCCGATGTCACCCCGGAGAAGGTGCCCACCCACATCGTGGACTACTCAGGTAGGCGCCTGCCCGCCCGTGCGGTCCAGCGTGGGCTGGGCTCCGGTCGCGTGAGCTCAGCGTCCTCTCCCGCAGAGGCCGAGCAGACGGCGGAGGAGCTGCAGGACGAGATCCACAAGGTGCGGCCCTGGCTGGGGGACTTTGCTCGGAGGGGCTGAGCAGCTGCGCCGTCAGCGCCCCCACGCCCTTGGCCCTTGCAGCATTTTCACCCTCCTCACCTGTTCTCACAAGGGCCTAGTCCACCTCCGCATACAGCTTGGGCCGGGTCTGGCTTCTGCCACCGTTGCCCCATGCAGCTGTGCCCCTCTCACCTGCCAAGAGTTTGCTGATCTCACCACTTGGGTGCCATGTAGAAGAGCAGAGGGCCAGACCACGGTTGGGACAGCGGGGTTCGGGCCCCAGACACAGCCCCATAGCAAGCCCTGTGTGAGTCATGGGGAGGCAGGAGGGGAGTGGGGGCTCCCCGTGACACAGCACTGCCCCTGCACAGGCCAGTGTGGTATGCATGGTGTATGACGTGTCCCAGGCGGCCACCATCGAGAAGGTGAGCTGGGGGTTCCATCAGCCAGCTTGGGGACTGCTGGGGCAAGTGCGGGTCCCCTGCTGATCCTTTCTGGAGACCTTGTGCCCAGGGACAGCCAGGCCTCTTACCTCAGGCCCGCCTTTTCCTTTCAGATCCGAACCAAATGGATCCCACTAGTGAACGGGGGCACTGAAAGGGGACCCAGGTAACAGGATGGGCTGGACCGAACCTGCCAGCTCACCCGTCCCTAGTTACTGATCGTGGCCCCTTCAGGGTCCCCATCATTCTTGTGGGCAACAAGTCAGACCTGCGGCCCGGGAGCTCCATGGAGGCCGTGCTGCCCCTCATGAACCAGTACCCTGAGATTGAGACCTGTGTGGAGGTGAGCGGGCTCCTTCCCGGGCAGGGCCATCCCCTATAACCACTCTTCCTGGATCCACATCATTTTCGTGCCTGTCCCAGTGCTCGGCCAAGAACCTGCGGAATATCTCAGAGCTGTTCTACTATGCCCAGAAGGCCGTGCTTCACCCCACTGCTCCGCTCTATGACCCTGAGGCCAAGCAGGTGGGCGGGGAGGGGGTGTGGGGAATGGGGGGGAGCCTTTCAGGGCTGAGCCTGAGCTGGGCCACTGGTTCCTGCAGCTCCGGCCCGCCTGTGCCCAGGCGCTCACACGTATCTTCAGGCTCTCCGACCAGGACCTGGACCAGATGCTCAGTGACCAGGAGCTCAATGCGTTTCAGGTATTCGCCGTCCCTCTGCCTATCTCCAGGGGACCCTGAGCCATGGGGCAGAGCTGAGGCTCAGCTCACTGGTCCCTCCCCGGGGGCAGAAGTCCTGCTTTGGGCACCCGCTGGCCCCACAGGCGCTAGAGGACGTGAAGACTGTGGTCCGCAAGAACGTGGCAGGTGGTGTGAGGGACGGCCGGCTGACCCTGGACGGTGAGATGGGCACCCCTTGGTGGGGAGTGATCAGGGGCGTGCCTGGTGCTAGCCGTGTCCTCTTGAACAGGCTTCCTCTTCCTGAACATGCTCTTCATCCAGCGCGGGCGCCACGAGACCACTTGGGCTATCTTGCGGCGCTTTGGCTATGGGGACGACCTGGAGCTGACGGCCGACTACCTGTCCCCGCCGTGAGTGTGGGCAGGGCTTCCCATCCTTGCCCATTGGTAGCCCAGGGGAGCTGGGACCTCAGCTCCAGGGGACTGAGCCCAAGCTACCAGGGGAACAGTCGCCCGTGTCCCCACAGCCTCCACGTGCCGGCTGGCTGCAGCACTGAGCTCAACCATCTCGGCTATCAGTTTGTGCAGAGGCTGTTTGAGAAACACGATCAGGTGAGCCCTGCGAGCTGCACACACGCATGACATGACACAGGTAGGACTCCACAGTGAGGTGACGGAGGTGGGAAATTACATTGGGATCACACAGATGAGGTGATACAGGTGACATAACCCCGCAGTGAAAACACAGGTGATGTGGTCCCAAAGTGAGGTGATGCAGAGGTGAGGTGACAGAGGTGACGTCCTACAGTGAGGTGACATGGGTGACATTGCCCTGCAGTGAGGTGACAGGTGATATGGCCCTATAGTGAGATGATGCAGAGGTGAGGTGACACAGGTGATGTTCTGCAGTGAGAGGACACAGGTGACGTGGCCCTACATTGAGGTAACAGGTGATATGGCTCTGCAGTGAGGTGACGCAGAGCTGAGATGACACAGGTGATGTCCTGCAGTGAGGGAACACAGGTGACATGACCCTACATTGAGGTGAGAGAGGTGATGTGGCCCTGCAGTGAGGGGACATGGGTGACGTGGCCCCACAGTGAGGGGAGGGACACGGGTGACGTGGCCCCGCAGTGGGGATGCAGAGTGACTGGGGACACGGCCCTCTGCCCACAGGATGCAGACGGTGTCCTCTCGCCCTCGGAGCTGCAGAGCTTCTTCAGTGTGTTCCCGGCACCCCCGTGGGGCCCTGAGCTCCGGTGGGCTGTCCATGTGGAGCCGGCTGGACTGCCCCTGCATGGGTACCTCTGCCAGTGGACGTAAGCGCAGCCCCTTGGCCCCGCACCCGTCCCACCCCGCCGGCGGCACCCACTCCTCCCTCTCTCCCGTCCACAGCCTGCTGGCCTATCTGGACGTGCGGCGCTGCCTGGAGCTCCTGGGTCACCTGGGCTACCCCACCCTGTGCGAGCAGGACTCCCAGGCCCAAGCCATCACAGGTGGGCCCCACCCCTGCCCGCCCACCCCCACCCATTCCCAGATAGGTCCCCCTCACCCCTGTCCTCTGCTGCAGTCACCCGGGCAAAGAGATTGGACCAGGAGAAGGGGCAGACACAGAGGAGCGTGCTCCTATGCAAGGTGGTGGGCACCCGCGGGGTGGGCAAGTCTGCCTTCCTGCAGGCCTTCCTCGGCCGCAGCCTGGGGGTGAGTGTTGGGGCATGGGGGAGGGGGCCGGGGCCTCTGCTGGCACCAGGGCAGCTCCAGTCCTTCCCTCCTCAGCACCCCGATGCCGGGGACGCGGCCGGCCACACCATCAACACGGTGCAGGTGAACGGGCAGGAGAAGTACCTGATTGTGAGTGTGGCCGCTGGTTTGGAGGTGGGGGTGGGAGCGGCCCGGGTGCCCAGCTGAGCCCACCCTCTCTGTCCAGCTGTGTGAGGTGGAGGCAGACAGCCTGCTGGTAGCTACGCCAGACGCTGCCTGTGACGTTGCCTGTTTGCTCTTCGATGGCAGTGACCCTGGGTCCTTTGCACCCGTTGCCAGCATCTACAAGGCAAGCCCTGAACCCCCGGACCTGCTGGCAGCTTCCCCGTGCCTTCGTGTCAGCTGTGCCCTCATGCCCCTCTATCCCTCAGCGCTGCTTTATGGATGGCCAGACCCCCTGCCTGGTGGTCTCCTGTAAGGCAGACCTGCCTGAAGGTGTCCCTCCACCTGGCCTGTCTGCGGCCGAGTTCTGTCTCCGGCATCGGCTGCCTGCCCCCACCCCGTTCTCCTGCATTGCACCCAGCCCTGCCGTCTTCACCCGGCTTGCCACCATGGCCACACTCCAGTGGGTACCAGCACTGTCATGGGGCAGGGGGCGGGGGCCCAGATGTGGATGTCCAGGCCTTCAGCCAGCCTCTCCCATAGACACCTCGTCCCAGGGGAGCTACACACCACTTCCTTCTGGTTCCGGGTGACCCTGGGCGCCATCGGGGCCACTGTCGCTGCTGTGCTCAGCCTCTCCCTGTACCGGGTCCTGGTGAGGAGTCGATGAGTCCATCCAGCCTGCTGCCCACCGTGCCCCCGACACAGGAACGGCCACCCTTCCCTGGGCAGTGTGGAGGGACTGCACTCAGAGAAGCCAGTGGCCCAGACCCTTGTTCTCAGGGCTCCATGTCCCCTGACCGCAGTGGCCAGAGGGCATGGAGGGGGTCTCCACTCAGATGGCACTGTCCCTCCTTTGGAAACCCCTTTCTAAAGATGACTTTTCTTGACTGCTGGATGTGTCTCTTGTCTCTGGGTAGAAAATGACCCTCCTGTCCCCGTGCCTCACTCAAGCCAGAGAGAAAGGAGGCTGACACCAAGCTGTGTCCCCGGGCCCTGCCCTTGTGAAGAGGGCTGCTCTGGGGATGGGTCAGGCTGGCAGGCAGCAGCCCTGGACTGATACCAGGGAACCAGAGGGCCCCAAAAGTCTGGCAAAGCCAGGACCCACCCTAGCCCCAGTCTGTCCCTGGGGCACAGCCTTGGGGCTTGCTGCCCTCCGACCTGCTTGGGGAGGCAGCTGCACTGCCTAGAAGCCAGCACGGCCTAGGGGCAGCTCAAGGGGGCATCCCGGGGCGGCCGTACTCCTGGAGGGGAGCTGGGGGGGCACCGACGGCAGCGCCACCTGGTGGGGCCCCCGGGACTGCAGGCGGACGCCCCAGGGGAGCCGTGGCGGGGGCCGGCTGCGGGGTCCGGCCCGGGGCGCTGCAGCTGCGGCGGGGGGCGGCGCGCTGGGAGCGCGTCCCCGTGCGGGCGCGCGCGGCGGCGTGTGCGGGAGGCGGGCGGGCCGCGCGCTGACGCGGCGGCGAGCGGGGCGGAGCGGATCTTCCGCAGAGCAGCCCCTCCCGGCCGCGGCCGCCGACCCCGGCCCCCGGCCCGGCCCTATGGACAGGAGCTCCCTGCTGCAGCTTATCCAGGAGCAGGTGCGTGGGGGGGGGGGGGGGCCTCTGCCTCGGGGGAGGGGGGTGACGGGGCTCCCGAGAGCCCTGCCCCGTCCCCGCTCCCCCCTGGCTGTTCCCTCCCTGAACCACGGGAACCTGGTGGGGGTACTGCGGAGGGAGGGTACGGTCTCAGCCCTTGGCCCCATCTTTCAGGCAGGGTGGGGGGATAGGCAGGGAGGTCCCTGGAGTGCTGAGGCTCTACAGGCCCTGGGTTCAGCTGCCAGCTGCTCCTGGGACATGCGGTACAGCAGGGCTGGAGTCTTCCCTCTCCTGGCCGGCCCAGCCCTGAGGCTGGGGGTCCAGGCCCGCCCTCAGCCCTGGCTGGCGGCCTCCCTACCTCAGCAGCTGGACCCTGAGAATACGGGCTTCATCGGCGCGGACACCTTCACTGGCCTAGTGCACAGCCATGAGCTGCCTCTGGACCCAGCCAAGCTGGACATGCTGGTGGCCCTGGCCCAGAGCAACGAGCGGGGCCAGATCTGCTACCAAGAGCTGGTGGACTTGGTCAGTGGCATGGGGCGGGCAGCAGGGGCAGGGCCCAGGCCTTGGCTGGCTGCCTGGTGCTCTGGCTGAAGTGGGCTGGGCAGGTGGGCACCTTCCCTCCCCACGGGGGTGAGACCAACGGGGCCAAACCCTGTGGAGTGGGCAGCCTGGCAGACAGGACCCAAGAAGGACTGTGCCCATCTCAGATCAGCAGCAAGCGCTCCAGCAGCTTCAAACGTGCCATCGCCAATGGGCAGCGGGCACTGCCACAGGATGGGCTGCTGGATGAGCCAGGCCTGGGGGTTTACAAGCGCTTCGTGCGCTACGTGGCCTATGAGATCCTGCCCCGAGAAGTGGACCGCCATTGGTACTTCTACCGGCAACGCAGCTGCCCGCCCCCAGTCTTCATGGCATCCGTCACTCTCGCCCAGGTGGGCTGCCTACCTGCCCGGCCGCAGCCAGCTGTGCCCCGGCCTGCCAGACGTTAACAGCCCTGTCCCCCAGATCATCGTGTTCCTGTGCTATGGAGCTCGCCTCAACAAGTGGGTGCTGCAGACCTACCATCCAGAGTACATGAAAAGCCCCCTCGTGTACCACCCCAGCCACCGTGCGCGGGCTTGGCGCTTCCTCACCTACATGTTCATGCACGTGGGGTGAGTGAACAAGGCTCGTGTGGCCCTCGTGGCAGAGGGGGGCGGGGGGGGCTGGCTGACCTCCCTCCTGGCTCTGCCTGGTGTGTCCCGCGTGGCCAGGCTGGAGCAGCTGGGCTTCAACGCGCTCCTGCAGCTGATGATCGGGGTGCCGCTGGAGATGGTGCACGGGCTGCTCCGCATCAGCCTGCTCTACCTGGCCGGCGTGCTGGCAGGTGAGGGAGCGCGGGTGCCCGGCCCCTCCCCAGCTGGCCCAGCCCTCACGGCTCCTCTTGTTCACAGGCTCCCTGACGGTCTCCATCACCGATATGCGGGCCCCTGTGGTGGGGGGCTCAGGAGGAGTCTACGCGCTCTGCTCTGCACACCTGGCCAACGTCGTCATGGTAATGGGGCCGCCCTGGCTGGGGTGGGGATGGCTGCCGGGCCTGCCTTCTCACGGTACGTCCTGCACTCCAGAACTGGGCTGGGATGCGCTGCCCCTACAAGTTGCTGCGGATGGTGCTGGCTCTGGTGTGCAGTAAGTCAGGGCTGGGGGAGGGAGGGCTTGGCCTGGACCACGGCCCCTCCCACCTGCCTTCTCCCTCTGCAGTGAGCTCGGAGGTGGGCCGGGCCGTGTGGCTCCGCTTCTCCCCTCCCCTGCCCGCCTCGGGCCCTCAGCCCAGCTTCATGGCGCACCTGGCGGGTGCCGTGGTGGGCGTGAGCATGGGCCTGACCATCCTGCGCAGCTACGAGGAGCGCCTGCGGGACCAGTGCGGCTGGTGGGTGGTGCTGTTGGCCTACAGCACCTTTCTGCTCTTCGCCATCTTCTGGAACATCTTTGCCTACGACCTGCTGGGCGCCCACACCCCCCCGCCGCCCTGATGTGCTCCCTGGAGCCACACATCTGAGGCGAGCTTGCATGTCTGCCCTGGGGTGCCGCCACTCCCTGCTCGGGGCACATGCCCCTCGGGCCAAGCCTTATACCAGCCCCGGGACTCCAGGGCCAGCAGCTAAGGTACCCACGGGTGACCCCAGAGCAGACTGCTGGGCCTCCCAGCCAGGACCTGCAGTCTGAGCCTTTTTGGAGAACGAATAAATATTTTGCACAGTGAGACGGCGGTAGCAGGACTTCAGGGGTGTGCCTGGCCCCACACGCGGCCCTTGTTCATGCAGCGTGAGGCAGAGCAGCCTGTGAGACGTTTATTGAGTGGCTTCTGCCACACAGCCGCTATCTGGGTCCCCGTGGGCTGGGCAGGGGCTGAGGTTGGGCAGCAGGTCAGGGCACAGCTTGCGGCCCACAGCGCGCTCCAGCTTCTGCGGGGTCCAACGCCCCGAGGCGCTCCCTGGCAGGGGAAGGTCACAAGCTCAGCTCTGGCCGCTCCTGTGGGCTGCTCGCTGCTCCTGCCCTCCATTGCGCCTCACCTCGGCTCAGGGCTGCGGCGCGCTCCTGCATCTTGCCCAGGTACAGCAAGTGGCACTTAAGCGTGTAGCGCAGGGCGGGCAGCCCGGGCACTGCTGTCACCGCCTCGTCACACATGAAGGCGGCCACCTCTGGGGCGCCAGCAGCCAGGACAGCTAAGGAAGAAGGGCCGAGACAGGGCACTGCCCTACCCGGCGCATCGCCCAGACCGCGCGGCCCGCCGACACCGGTCCTTAACACGGTGGACGCGAGCAGGTCCTGGCCCGTGACCCCGCTCAACTCTGAGACATCCCGGAGGCCGTGGCCGGGCCCACGCCCCGGAGCACACAGCTCCGTGACTGCCGCCGGAACGTCTGGCATGAGATGGAAGGCGGCCGCGGGGCGCCGCACCACGAGCTCTGGGGTGTTGTTGCGGACCAGCTGCTGCAGGCGCGGCCGGAAGCGGCCCTTCTGTGGCCACCCAGAGCAGTAGTGGGCTCAGCTCAAGGGCCTGGAACTCGGACAGGTGCCCCCGCCCACCACAGGAAGGAGGCTGTCTGCGCGGGCCCCGCCCCAGGAGAAGTCCCGCCTCCGTGTCCGCAGGCCCCGCCTCCACCCAAGAGGCCCCGCCCCGCCGAGGCTCCGGCCGGCCCGGGGACGCCCTTCACCGCCAGCTTCCAGGCCAGCAGCCGCTCTAGCTCGGGTTGTGTCACGTGCTTCTCTGCTCGGCCCTGAATGGCTGCGGGTAACTCCTCGGTACCTACGGGGCGGGCCGTGACGGGGAGTCCGGGCCCCGGGGCGCCCTCCCTACCGGTCCCATGTCATGTCACCCTACCACTGGTCCAGCGCTTCCAGAGGCCCGTGCGGGCCCGCGCGCGCCCGCAGCACCTCCCCGTAGCGTGCCAGGGTGGCGGCCCAGCGACCTGGGTCTTCATAGTCCCACAGCATGCCGGCCGAAGCCACGCTCGCGCGCGGGGCGGGGCTTCGCGAAGGCGGGCTTCCGCGAAACGAGCTTTCAGCTGAAGGCGGGTGTGTGCGCGGGCGCGGGCGTGTGTGTGTGTGTGTGTGGTCTGCGTGCGTGCGGGCGCGGGCGTGCGTGCGTGCGCGGGGTAGGTCTGACCCGTGCGGACCAGCGCCGCGAACGCGCGCCCAGTCGCTCGGGTGGAGGCTGCCCGTCCTGCGCGCGCAGCCGGCCCCGCCCCGTCGCGCGTCCTGCGCACGCGCGGCTCCGCTGGCCCAGCCCACCCGCGCGGCCGGAAGTTCCGCTGGCGGATCGCGGGGCCGGGTCCCAGCGGGTCGTGGGCTCGGGCTGGGGCTGCGGGCGCGAAGCCTGGGAACGGAGCCCCGGCCGTGCCGCGCGGCGCTATGAAGGGCAAGGAGGAGAAAGAGGGCGGCGCGCGGCCGAGCGCCGGCGGCGGCAGCCCCGACAAGAGCCCGAGCGCGCAGGAGCTCAAGGAGCAGGGCAACCGGCTCTTCGTGGGCCGCAAGTACCCGGAGGCGGCGGCCTGCTACGGCCGCGCCATCGTGAGTGTGCCCGCGTCCGGGCCGGGGCCCCCGGTGCTGGCCGCGAGGACTGTTGGGGGTCGGTGCTTCGGGTTGGCCGGGACCCGCAGGGGGCCGAGACCGGGGGTCGCCGCAGGCCCGGGGAATCGCCTGGCAGATTCATCTGGGGCCAAGCGTGAGGGCTCAGGTCGTCACCACTCCGGTACCCGGCAAGGGCTTTCCGTAGCCACGAAACTCCGAGTTCCCCGGTGTGGGCCCTGGGAGCCAAGCGGGGCTGGGGGAGCCGGGAGCTCGCACCCTCACAGGGGCGGGCCTGGCTCGGTCCGCAGACCCGGAACCCGCTGGTGGCCGTGTACTACACCAACCGGGCACTCTGCTACCTGAAGATGCAGCAGCACGAGCAGGCGCTGGCCGACTGCCGGCGCGCCCTAGAGCTGGACGGGCAGTCGGTGAAGGCGCACTTCTTTCTGGGGCAGTGCCAGCTGGAGATGGAGAGCTACGACGAAGCCATCGCCAATCTGCAACGAGGTGGGACTGCGCGGCTGCTGGGGCTTGCCGAGGGCTGGGAGGGCAGGCCGGGCCGGAGGGTGACCCGCAGCCTCCGTTCCCGCATGCAGCTTACAATCTGGCCAAGGAGCAGCGACTCAACTTTGGGGATGATATCCCCAGTGCTCTGCGCATTGCCAAGAAGAAACGATGGAACAGCATCGAGGAACGACGCATTCACCAGGAGAATGAGTTGCATGCCTACCTCACGCGCCTTATCATGGCTGAGCGTGAGAGGTGGGCTGGAGGGCCGCGGCTCCCCCTCAGTCACCCAATCGGTTGAACTCGAGTAACTAGCACAAATGTTTATTGGAGGCCTACACTGAAGGAGAAGGGAGGGAGCCCTGAGTAAGCCTGAGGATAGGGCACAGTCATGTCTCTAAACAGTTCCCCTATACCCACAGGGAGTTGGAAGAATGCCAGCGAAGCCTTGAAGGGGACGAGGATGATGGTCATGTCCGGGCCCAGCAGGCTGGCATCGAGGCCAAGCATGTGAGGGCTCTCCAGCTTGCTTTTTGGGTTTATGTGTGTGCAGGTGCGTGAGCCTGGGGGTGGCACAGGGTGTCTGGCCCACATGGCTCCTTGGTTCTTCACAGGACAGGTACCTGGCAGACATGGACGAACTTTTCTCCCAGGTGGACGAGAAGAGAAAGGTGAGCTGGGAGGGGGAGGTGGAGGGCATCCCCACATCCCTGTCCCCACTCTCCCTTGGCCCTCTCCCTGACCACACCTTGTACTTCAGAAGCGAGATATCCCTGACTACCTTTGCGGCAAGATCAGCTTTGAGCTGATGAGGGAGCCATGCATCACGCCCAGCGGCATCACCTATGACCGCAAAGACATTGAGGAGCACCTGCAGGTGAGGCCCCCAGGGTGGACAGCAGGGCCTGTCCCCACTGAATGGATTCTCATCCTGTTGTCACTGCAGCGTGTGGGCCACTTTGACCCTGTGACCCGGAGCCCCCTGACCCAGGAACAGCTCATCCCTAACCTGGCCATGAAGGAGGTCATCGACGCCTTCATCTCCGAGAACGGCTGGGTGGAGGACTACTGAGGTGGGCGGGTGCGAGGGCCCAGCTCCCTCTCGGGCCAGGCCTAGCCTGGGCTCCAGCCCCTGTACATAGTTTGTGTCCCCATACCCCTACCCTGTCCCCAACTTCATCCTAATTTGTTCTGCTTTCTGGGCCACAGCCTGCCCTGTCCCCCTACTGGGTAGGAGACAGCAGGCAAGAGTGGGCTGGGCTGAGGTCCACTGCTGCCTTCACTGTCCCTGTAATAAACCTGTGACGCAATGGGGCATGTGTGGTGTGTGCCTGCCCACTTGGTGGCTAACTGAGGAACGTAGACATGAAGACGGTGGTGTCCAGGTTGAGGGTGGCATGCCACCATCGGCCAGGGAAGTACAGCACCTGCCAGGGCATGGGGTGGGGATGCAGGATTAGTTGTGAATTCTTTGCCCAGCTCAGCTCGGCCCCCTCTGGCCGGCCACTGACCTCCCCTGGCCGGATGGTGCACTCCAAGGGCCGCTGTGATGGTGCCAAGGCCGGGTATGTATCCTGGAGCCAGGCCAGCGTGGTCTTGTTGGGATGGAACTCGGGTGTCTTCTCCGGGGGGTACAGGAACCAGCGCTGGAAATGAGTGCAGTGTCACTGCTGTAGCCATCATTCTGTAGCTCCAGCCCCCCAGGCCCGTGCTTACCTTGCGGCCATAGATGACCTCTGAGAACCCAGGCCCGTGCCAGTGGAAGGGCACCCCAGAACCAGCACCTGTGGGCAGTTAGAGGCAGCTGCTGACCAGCCCACCTGGCATTTCCCCTCAACTACAGGCGCCCCGCTCCTGGAGGTTCTCACCAGCAATCCCGAAGCTGTGAGCAGGAGTAGTGCCAAGCAGGCCGAAAGGGGGCGGGGAGTAGTGCTGAAAGAGCGACGCCCACTCGGTGAAGTTGTTGTCCCCGAAAAAGTACAGGGTGTCTGTGGCAGAGAGTGCAGCCGTGTGTGCAAGGGCTCACCGCTGGCCTCAAGCATCCCATCCGGCAGACATGCCAGCCCACTCACCATTGCCCAGAGAGGTGGGGTCCTGGGGTCGCAGCAGGTGCTCCACATACTCCTGGAAGGGTAGGTCCACTGCAAAGGAGAGGCGGTGAGGACCGGCCGCGCCAGCTGCTGGCAGCTGGCATAGCCGACTGGATGCTCACCTTTGCGATAGGAGTAGGTGTTGGCCGTGCTGAGCCGGACGACGCGGTCTCCGAACGAGGCCAGCAGCCTCTCACGGGAGCACAGGGCCCGGAACCTCTGCGAGGGGCGGGCGGTCGGTTAGGCCGGGGCCAGGGCGCCGGCGGGGACCCGGGCGCGCGCACTCACCGAGTTGTCCACGCGCCCGGCCAGGATGACGGGTCTGGAGAAGGCGTAGCTGGGAGGAAGGAAGGAAGGGCGGAGTCACGGCGGGCGCCGGAGGGGCACGGAGGTCGGCGCGGGACGGCGTGGCGGGGGACACGTACCGCTGTGCGAACTCGGCATAGGTGAGGTCGAGCCGCCGCTCCACCGTGCAGCGCCGCTCCTCGGGCACGGCCGCCGCCGCCGACCCGCGCCAGCGCCTGCGAGCACAGCATTCAGCGCCCACCCGCGCGCGCAGCGCTCAGCCGCCGCCCGCCGCCCGCCCGGCGCCCGCGCCCGCCCGCTCACCACCCGCCGTCGCCCGCCGGCCCCGCGTCGGGCCGCGCTGCCGGTGCCAGCGCGCAGAGCGCCGCCGCCAGGAGCACCCTGCGCGCCCCGCACCCCGCCATTGGCCCCCGAGCTCCGTCGTCTGGGCGACGGCCGGCCGGCCCGCTCCGGAAGCAACCCCGGACCCGCCCCCAAGGCGACGCACTTCCGGGGGCGGGGCGAGGCGGCCGCCCGTTGCCCCGGCGACACTGACGCCCGCCTCCGAGCCGCCGGCGCACTGCAGACAGGATGACAGAGACAGTGCTCCCGCGTCTTTATTGGGTTCGTCAGGCCCGCCCTCTGGCGACGGCCGTCATGAGTACTCGCACAGATGGCCACAGCCCGCGGGGCAGTGCGAGCTGCCCTCCAGCCACTTCATGATGTGCTGCAGGTGGCCGCCGTGACTGCAGCCTTGGCACCACACGAACAGCCCCTTCACCACGTGGTGGCAGACGGCACACATGCTGGCACAGCGATGGCACCTGGGGGCAAGAGGACGCTCAGAGGATGCTCCCTGCCGCCCCCACCCCGGCATTGCCCCGGGACCTCACCTGTCGCAGACCCAGCCGCGACTGCTCATGGGCCGCTTGCAGTGACTGCAGTTCACGTGCAGTGTGGTGGAAGCCTGGTTGAGGCAGCTGACGGCGCGGCTGGTGCTAAGCTTGACCACCTCATTGGACACGTTCCAGAGGCAGAAGCGCTGCAGCAGGTCGATGTAGGACGTGTACCAGTGTTCCTGCAGGAGACGAGGGGCCAGAGGTGGGCTCGGGTCGTCCTGCACGGGGACAGAGGCACCCCGGCCAACACGAGCCCCTACCTGGGTCTGCTCGTCTATGTCTCTGCGTACCCGCTCGCCCAGCACGATGAGCACAGACACAGCCATCTGCACGTCCCCCTGCTCGGCGTAGAAGCGCAGCATGTCGCACACTAGGGCGCTGAAGAAGTCGGAGGGCAGCCGGCTGTCGTGCAGCGCATGTGACACGGAGATGAGGGAGAAGGAGGAGTCCACTGGGGGCAGGGAGGCTGCCTCCGCCTCGCTGCCGCTCACATGGGGCGAGTCAGCCTTGTCCTGCAGGTGCTCGGGCCCAGGGGGTGTGTCCACGATCTCGTGACGCAGCGGAAAGGCTTCCTGTGGCAGCACGTACTCGGGCTCCTCGGCTGCGAGGGGCCTCTAGGGCTCAGGGACTGGGGCGCCTCTGCCCCAGGCCCACCCTGCCACGCCCACCGGCCTGCCCACACACCCGCCCCGAAGCTACTCACGGTGGGCGTGTTCCGGATCCAGAAGGTACAGCTCATCATCCTCGCCCTCGGCATCCCCCAGCAGGTAGTCAGCAGGCACATCGCTGCCCTCAGTCTCCTCGTTGTCTGCCCGGCAGGGAGGTGATATTCTAAGGGGGGGGGGGGGGGCCTGCTATGTGCCCCACCCTGCTGCACCCATAGTTCATGCCCGTCTCCTACCCTCGTTGGTGACAAGTGTGGCCGAGGCATCGAGCAGCACCGTGTCACTCCGAGCATCCCCCTTGCTGCGGTCCAGCCGGGTCTCACTGCCTAGCCCTGGGGTAATATCCTTCAGGGTGAAGCTGGGGACGGGAGAGCCAGTGGGTAGGTAGTCACTGCCCTGCCGCACCTGTCTTCGAGGACCCACCCCTGGTGCCTACCTGTTCATAAGTGACAAGCCACCACAGGAGCTGCCTTTGCCCACGCTGTGGTTGAGGTTGGTGGTGGGCACCAGTCCTGGGCTACAGTAGATGATTCGCAGCATGGTCCATGTCTGTGCTACCTATGGGCAGACACTGTTCACTCTGGGGTGCCAGACAGGCCCCTCCACCAGATGGACACATGGATCTTCAGCTTTCAGCTGACCAGAGACCCAGTGTCCCAATCTGGGGGCCTCAGAGACCCAGAGAGGGTTCAAGGACCTGAGCTTTGCTGTGGAAGGCTGGGCAATTGGATCACTGGAACCTTGAGTCCCTTGAGCACCATCCGAAGCCACCCCTGAGCACAAAGCTGGGAGTAGCCAAAGGCACCACCAGGTAAAACCCCAAAATAGGAAAAAACCACCAATGTCCTGACTTGTCCAGAGTGGGGAAACCAAGACCCATGGGAAAAATAAGATCCCAGCTGAGTCCCGCAGCACAAGAGGAAGTAGAGTAGAATGCGGTCATACAGCAGTGGGCAGGGTCACGGGAAGGTCTGCAGGGCTGGACACTGTGTGAGATCTTGGAACAAACAGGAGCACCACGGTAGCTCCAGGCATGTTCAGCTACTGAGCAGAGGGTGGGTGGTGGCAGTGGTCAGGGCTGAACAGTGACTCCAGGGCAGGGGCAGGGAGCAGGCGCCAGAGGTACCTTCTGCCCCAGGCCCACCCACCTGATTGCGACCCAGCTCCCGAGCCACCTTAGCATTGTGATCACAGAGCTCAGCCAGCGGCCGGCCAGCCAGGGCATACCGCTCTGCCGTGTCCACAAACCAGCTCATGCTGCCGCTGCCCGGCTCCATCTCAAACACGCTCAGGGCACTGGAGGCCAGGCCCGAGAAGGGCTCGGCAGGATCTGGCTTGCGCTTGAAGAAGATGGGGTGGCGTCGGTCACCAGCAAAGGGTTTACGCCCTGACTCAGCTGCCACAAGACTCTCCTTGGCGGCAAATGCCAGGTCCCCAAAAAGGCCGTAGCAGAGGCCCTCTGGGTTGGCACGCTCCACAGGCTGGCTGGCATCACGGAAGAGGTGCTGGCACAGGGTGCTGTCCTTGGAGCCAGAGAGTAGGAAGGAAGGATCGTGCGGATGGCGCCAGGCAATGCCCGTGGTCACATCACGGTGCTCCTCAAACATGGCAGCGGGCACAAAGGGCCGACGCACGTCCCACACGTAGATGTTGTGGTCCACCATCATGGAGCACGTGGCCAAATGGTGGCGGCACTCAGGCCTCCACTTGACTCGGGCTACTGAGGCGATGGTCTGCACACAGTGCACCTCCTTGGCACGGTGCGTGGTCATATCCCAGACCTTCACCATCTTGTCACGCCCGCCTGTGGCCAGCCAGCCCCTGTGGAAGGGCCGCTCCTGAGTGCGGGGGCTCGGGCTCTCCCAGGACCCCGCCCACAGCCCGCAGCCCCGCACACCCACACCTGTCCTCTGGGTGCCAGTCGCAGCAGAAGACAGGCCCGTTGTGCGCTGTGAACATGCGCTCACAGCGGTCGGGCCGCCGGATGTCCCACAGCTGCACGTTGCCGTTCTCGAAGGTCGAGGCAAAGGTGAAGTAGTCACGAAGGCTGAATTGCACGTCCCGCACGCTCTCGGACTGGCCTGCCCGGGACACCGGTGTGGAGAAAGCTGGGGTCCAGTGGGCAAGCCCCAGCAGCATGGAGAAGCCCCACCATGGACAGAGGCTGGGCCACTCGGCGAGTGCCCCATCTCCTGGAGGCACGTGCAGGGGGGCTCCAGCTTCTTCCCAACCCCTTCCCCTTGAGTGAGGGCATCTGCTCAGGCGAGGAGGCGGCCGGGAGGGTCCCTGCCTACCTAGGGAGCCTGCCCGAACCCCCATCCCAGGCCCGGGGGGCTCCGTCCGGGCAGCAGAAGGTCATCTGCCTTCACCCACCTGAGAAGGTGCTCACCGAGTCCTTCCTGCGGAGGTCGAAGCACTTCATGAAGCCGTCCTGGGAGCCGCTGAGCAGCACGTGCGCCTCGGTGGGATGGAAGCAGACTTTGTTCACTGTGCGCTTGTGCTCGGTGAACAGCTGCTCCTGCTTGTTGCGGGAGGGCCGGCCCAGGTTCCAGGTGACCACCACGCCATTGGTGGCCGCCGTGGCGAGCAGGTTCTCGTCAATCTGGTGCCAGACCACGTCGGCGCAGCTGAGGTTGAGGGAAGGCTTGCGGCCCACGCGCAGGTTCAGCTTCTCCACAAACTGCCCCTCCTCGATGGCGTAGATCTTGAAGATGCTGCGGCCGGCCACCACCACCTGGGCCGCATCCCGGCACACGCTGATGGCGTTGGCCGGGGCGTCCAGGTGGCAGTGCATGGTGCGGCCCGTCAGCGTGCTGCCCCCGAGGGCCGTGCTCACCCGGGACATCTTCTCCATGGCTGCCCAGCCGCTGGGCACAGGTCAGTGACACACGCGGGCCTGGGCGGTTCGTGCGACTGCCGCCGGGTCGGCCAGGGCAGCCAGGGGCTGGGTGGCGCCCATGCCTGAAGCGGGGAAGGTCCTCCCTGCCCGGCGCCCGGAGACTCCGGTGCCCGCCGCCTACACGCTGGGCACTGCGGCCGGGGAGCCCGGGGAAGGTAACGCTGCCGCCGCCCGGCCGAGCCCACAGCGGCGCCGCGCCGGAAGCGGCCCCGCTCTTTCCGGTCCCCGCCGGAAGCGGCCCCGCTCCTGCCGGCCCCCGCCGGAAGCGGCGTTGAGCCGCACAGAAGTTCCGCCCGTCGGTCTTTGCGGCGCTCTCCCTTACGACTCCGTGCCCTTCCGTGGCCCCCAGGGCCCGGCCCCAGCGGTGTCCCGCGGTGCCCCTTCCCGGCCAGCCCGCCAGACCTGGCCCCGGCGTGCTGCCTTAGTTGTGGCAGAGACTTGTCGCAGCATGACCGGGGGTCACAAACGGCACCGCCACGAGGATCATGCTGACCGAGTTGGGGAAGTGCCAGATCTGCAGTGTGGGATGGTACCACCGGCGCTAATGTCTGTCCCAGACAGTGAAAGGGAAATACACCAGAAATTAGGCACTCGTGCGACCAACTCGTGCGGCCAACCCGAGTTAGGTCCCCTGCTCAGCACCACCAGGAGTGATGCATGAGTACAGTACAGTGACGCACGAGCATGTGCCCCCTCCCCCAAAAAATTATGATTTGGATTAACTTCCTTTTGGCATTTGGACCACACCCAGCCTACTCTGGGAACCCACCTCCTCCCTATCCTTGGGATATGTCGTCCCCTCAGGGGTTACTCCTAGCTGTTTTGCACTGGGATCAGCCCTGGTAAGCCCACCCCCACCTCCCCCGCCCCGGGATCATATGGAATGCCAAGGCTTGAAGTTGAATTGGCCCCTGCAAGGCAAACCCACTGCTGTGCTATCGTTTGGGGCCCCTTGTTTCTAACCAAAGCCTTCATAGCTGGGAGCCCTTTGCTTACCCACGGAACTCATTTTTTTGTTTTGTATTATTTTGGGACCACATCCAGTGGTACTCAAAGCTTACCACTAGCTCTTGGCTCACTTCTGGTGGGCTTAAGGAACTGTACTGGATACCGGAGATCGAACAGATTGGCTGCATGCAAGGCAAACATACTACTCACTAGACCTATGGCCTGGCCCCACGGAGCTCATTTACTCGGAAGCTTGTGCCTTTCCACCACTCTGCCTTGGCCCCATGCTGGAGGAGACGTCCTTGCAGCCTCTGTAGTTTGCTACCAGAGCTTCTAAGTTCGATGGGGGGAACGCGAGAGCATCATAGACTGGGGCACCTTCTCAGCCATGGTTGGTAACCAAAAATAACTCAGACACATGTTTTTACAACTTTTTTAATATATATTTTTATAAACGGGTCACGTGATAAAATAGCACAAGAAACACTTACCAAATATAAGGTTATATCTTCCGCATATACAGGAGAATGAGGTCGTTATGTACAATAAGAAAATGATGTCAGGGGTTGGTTGGGTTTGTTTCCTCCTCTCCCCTTAATTTCTCCTCCTACAGTCGTTGGAAATATCACAGCTTCAGTTGCATTAATACTTTGGACAAACGGTCAGCTGCCGCTCCCCAGCAGGGAGTGTGAGGAGGCGGCTGGAGACCCCTCCTGACTGCCCTGCCCCAGAGCCTCCGACCCTCCGCTCCTCGGCAGGAAAATCTTTGGGCTGTTGAACTGCTTCTGCCTCAACAGCATCTTGCTCTCTCGTTCGCTCGCTCTCTCTCGCTCGCTCTCTCTCATTCTCAGGCTCTCTGAAAATTGGTTCCTCTCTTCCAACCAGGGGTGGGGTGGGGAATTGTCCCAAGATTGGGTGTGAGTGCTGAATCTCCTGGGGCTCAAGGCTGGGGTGGAGAGGGGCCCCAGCCCCTTCCTCAGCCAACTGCCAAGACGTGCCCGCATCCCCAGGACTTCCAAGGGCTTTGGGACTGGACAGGCTGGCAGAGGTTCGGGACGCTGGGGTGGGAGGGGAGTGGTGGGGGCGGCTAGAAAGAGCCCTGCCTCCTCTGCGTGCTGGGGCCCTGGCCACTAAGGTGAGATCGCAGCCCATCCCGCCCCAAACGTGGTGGGCGACAATTCCGGCAGCCGGGCCCTGCTGACTGCAGGTCTCACAACACTGCTCTCAGGTGAGGGCTGCGCAGATGCGGTCCCCCAGTGTGGCGGTGCCACCCAGGGTCTGGCTGGGCAACTGTGCGTTATGCCAAGCCGCTGGCAGCCCTCTCCCCCCCAACTGTCATAGTGCGGCCGGGCCCTGCGGGTGGAGACAGGGCGGCCACCGGCCAGGAACAGGGGGCTCCTTGGGTCTGGCTGGCACGAGGTGGGGACGGTGAGGGTGGGGCTGGGTCTCCTGGTGGGTCATGGCTTTGGCTGTGGGCCGCTTCCCTCGCGCCCCTCCGAGGGCTCCCGGCGCCTGCGCAGTGGACGATGCGGGAAGCCCGTGAAGGCTCTTCCTCCGGCTCCCTGTGTTCTGGGGGCCCGGCCCCCTCCATCCCCCTGGGCCCTGCCCGGATGGGGGGGACAGCGGGAGGCGGCAGGGTGTGGCAGGAAAGGCGGTCAGGGTGCCGCGGGCCCCGCAGCTGGCGGCGAGAGATGGCGGCGGCGGTGGCGGGTGGGGGCAGGCGTGCAGTGCGGGCACGAGGGGCATGCACAAAGTCCCCGAGAGTGCGTGCGTGCGTGGGCGGGCGCCGCCCGCCGCCTTCCTGCCCGGGCGGGCGCGGGGCTGGGGGAGGGGCTCCGCGGCGCCCGGCGACCCCGCGCGGAGTAAGGGGCGTTCCTGCGGCGGGGCCGAGTCCCCACGCTACTCGATGACGAGGCAGTGGGGCAGGTGCTGCGAGAAATACTTGAACAGCTCGGGTGTGGCGCCGGGACAGTTGGTCAGCTCCAGCTCCTCCAGCTCCTGCAGCTGCACCAGGCCCGAGAGTCCGGTGGTGGTCAGCAGCGGGCAGCCTGCGACAGGGGTAGCAGCACGGCTGAGCGTCCCGAGGGGTTTCGGGGGCGTGGCCGCACGGAAGGGCAGGTTTGTGGGCATGGCCTGCGGGCGTGGTGGAAGTGACCTCCCGGGGCGTGGTCCCGGAGGCGGGGTTTGATGGCTTCGGGGCGGGGCCGTGACCTCTAGGGGCGTGGTTTGAGGTCTTGGGGCGGGGCCGCATGGAGGAGTACTTCCAGGGCGTGGTCGCTTGGGGGCGGGGTCTCCCGCAGCGCGGATATTTCGGAGCTGCGCTACAGGGCCGGGACTTGCTCCCCAGCTCCCTCCAACTACCGGACATGAGTCAGTCTAGGTGGGGACGAGTGAGGAATACGATTCAGGCGGGGGCTGAGGGGGCGTCTCACCTGCCAGAGACAAGAGGCGCAAACTCCTCATGGCCAGGAGGTGCTTGAGCCCGAAGTCCTGCACCTGGGCGGGAGGGCGGAGCGAATCACCTACGCATGCGCGCTCCCTAGCGGAGCCTGAGCCCTGAGGTCAGGCCGGGGGCCTGAAGCTGGAAGGGCAGGAAGGGGTTTCTCAGCCCTCAGGGCGCGGAAGGCAGCGGGGAGGGAGCGCCCTGCACGGTCCTCTTAACTTTGACCACAAAGTGTGGTTGGGGGGGTAGGGTCCACCCCAGACCTCTTAGGAGATCTGAATGGGATTGGGTCATCTGAACCGGGTCCTCCACGCCTCCCCCTCCTCCGACTACTCCCCAATCTCCCAAGGCAAGGAGGGGCGAACCTGGCAGCACCATCGCAGGTAGAGGCTGCGGAGGGACGACATGGTGGACAAGTAGCTGAGGCCAGTGTCCGTGATACGTACACACCTGGAATTTCAACAGAGGGGGCTGCCTACCTTCAAACGCCCTTGCCCAACTCCGACCCTCCTGTCTCCTTCTCTTGGAGTGCCTCTGGCGGGCAGGCCTTCCCTGCCACACCTGCAGGCGCCCCTCCCATTCCACAGCCACGCCCTCCGCACACCTGTCCAGCACCAGCTCCTCCAGACGGTGCAGGTCACAGGCCACGTACTCGAGCGCCATGTCGGTGATGCGCGGGCACCACGAAAGGTCGAGGCTGCGCAGCTTGCGCAGGTTCTCGGCCACCAGCTCGACACCGTCGTCAGTGACCTTGGAGCAGCCCGACAGGCTGAGCGCAGTGAGATTGGGCAGGCTGTGCACCACGTTGACCACGCCGTGGTTGGTGATCTCCCAACAGGAAAGCAAGCGCAGCGTGTGCGTACTGTGGCCCTGGCGTGCTGTGAAGTAGGCCAGGGCCGTGTCCGTCACGTGGTAAGCCTGCAGGCTGAGCTCGGCTAGGTTGGGCAGCAGCTGGGAGATGGCCGCGATGGCGTCGTCGGCCACGTTGATGCAGTCGCTGACACTCAGCGAGGTGATGCGCGCACTCAGGCTGGACCACAGCCCCGCCTCAGTGAAGTCGTTGCAGCCCGAGAGCTCTAGGCGCACCACGCCCTGCATCTGCTCGAGCATCACCTGTGGGGGAGGAGGGAGGGCAGGAGCATCAGTGTTGCTCCTCTCCCGCACTGCAAATGCAGGAAGGGCCAGCTGAGTGGCAGCACAGCTCGATGGAGCTCAGCTTGGACAGGTGCCCTTCACAGCATGTCCCACCTGGGCCACGTGGAAATGTAGCAGGTCAGTGGCACTGAGATCTGGTGTTCAGTGCTTGTGGTCGGAGCCTGAACCACTGCCCTCCACCTCTTTTGGGGGTGGAGGCCACACCCAGCTATGCTCAGGAATCACTCCTTGGAGGGGCTTGAGGTACCTCTGGGGTGTCAGGGATCGAACCCAATCAGCCATGTGCAAGGCAAGTGCCTTACCAGTTATACTACAGCTCCGGCCCCAGTTCCCCCATTCACCAGGGCTGGCTTCCAGAGTATGGGGAGCCCTGCGGGCAGGGGGTGTGCCTCAGGTGGTACACACATCCTACATGTGCAAGACTCGGTTTGGTCCTGGTACCTCCACCAGGGTGGCCTAGGCCTGAGCACTGCCAGCCGTAACTCCTAAAAAAGAAGCGCCTTGCCTAATTGATTCAGTCTCCATCTTGAAGGGCTCTTTTCTGTACTACCTATCTGGG